CAGGTTCTAGACCCAGCACTGAGCCTCCCGGCCATGACTCAGAAACCTCTGTGCCCCGGCTCAGTGCAGAGTGGGAACACAGCTCATGGCTCTGCAGTCATATCAACAGGTAAGGGCATGTGAAGTGTACAACAAATACCCCAAAGTGTTGACTCCTCCCATCAGCAGACCCAAGGTACATACGACCCTGGGCAAGTCATTTAACCTCTGTGACCCTGGTGTCCCTGGGTTGTAAAGTAAGCACAGGGACATGCCTTCTGCTAGACTATGGTAAGTAGTTGCCATCTGAGTTCCACGCTTGGCACTTAGTACTCGATAGCAGGGAATTCTACCCCCCTCTCCCATTGCAGCTCTGGCCTGGAGCCCCAGGGTGGGGGGGACCCAGACCCCTCTCAGACTCCCGACAGACTCAGCAGCTGGAAGATGCCCACTCCCCCAGGGCAGCCAGATATCTGCAGTGCCCAGGCGTCCTCCCTGGCTGGGGGTGGAGACTCTGAGCCTCACCTAGCCCAGCAGCATCTGTCCCCCCACTGGGAAAGCTGGGGCACCTCCTCACAGCAGGTGGACTGGCTGCTGATGGAGGGGCATCTAGGAGTCCAGGGCAGAGCTCTGCATTTGCACAGACCTGGGGTGAAGGTCAAGGCACTGAGCTGCTTGGGGTGAAAGTCACATTCTGGGTGGTGGCCCAGGACATGTGGGACATTTTCCCCATACTCTGGACCCATCTCCTGCACCTGCCTCCTGGAGGCATGGCTTTCTGCAAGCTCCCAAGCTGAGTTTTCACCCAGCATCCCACAAGCAATGGCCCCTGTGGTCCAAGAAGGCATAAGTGGGATGCTTCTGTCAGCATGGCTCCTGACCCTCTCAAACCTGCCTGCTCTCCATACCCCGAGCTGGAACTCTATCAAAGACCAGGGACACCAGGCAGGGGTGCTCTGTTCCTTCAATCTACTGGGGAGTGGGCCTGAGGGGGCAGGATGGGAGCAGCTCCAGAGGGGCCCTGGGAGGGCCTTAGTGGCTGCACTTGCTTACAAAAAGAAACAGAAGGGAACTCATCATCATTTTCCAGGAAAAAAGGCCTTCTTTTTGTTTGTCCCAATTGTGGCAAAATACGCACAACATAAAACTTGCCTTCTTACCCTTCCTCGAATGCACTGTGCCGTGGCCGTCGGCACACGCGCATTGTGCAGCCACTGCTACGGTCATCTCCAGAGCTCATCTTCCCAACTGAAGCTCTGACTCCCCAGCCCCCCACCCCTCTTCTACTTCCTATCTCTATGGATTTGACGACTCCAGGGACCTCCAGTGAGTAGAACCTGCTATGTCTGCCCTTTGGTTTTGTTGATGGCTTAACTTCACTGAGCTTGATATCCACAAGGTCCGGCCATGCTGTAGGGTCAAGACTTGCTCCTTTTTTAAGGCTGAGTAGTACTCCACTGTGCAGGCTGACCACATGGTGCTTACCCACTTCTCTACTGATGGTCACCTCCACGTGTTATCTGTGTCCATCACACAGCAATAAACACACGTGTGCAGAATGTCTCTTCCAGGCCCTGCTTCCAGTTCTTTTGGGCAGACCCAGCAGTGGGAAGCCTGGATCACACAGTGATTCCATGTCTAATTTTTGGAGGCATGGCCAAACTATTTCCCACAGGGGCTACACTAGCTGATGTTCCCACCAATGAGAAGTCCTAAGAAGCTGGGAGCACATGTCCCTGGAGCCTCCCGTCACTCAATAGCCCCTTCCCCTCCCAACGAGCTCTTGGGTTCAAAGACAGCCTGAGAGGGGAGTGACATGGGATGTGGGTTATTTGGAAGTGGGTCTCAGTCCTAGACAACTGGATTTTTCCATCCACGTGCCCCACTAGTGGGTTTTGCCCAGAGCCCAAGTGTCTACAGCAAAAAGCCTGAATGTCTGTCTAAGGGGGGCCTCCCTAGCTTCAGACATCCTGTCCCTACTCCAACCAATGACCCCCTCAGACTCACTGAGCTCCCTAGGAAGGGGCTCTGGGAAGTGCGGGCAGGACAGTCTCCTGCCCTCCTTGAAGCATGGCTGGGGTAGGATCCCCAGCCCACACTGAGCTGCTGAGCTTCTGGGGCAGCCAGGCAGAGTTCCATCCCCCCAGTCCACTGTGCTGCCATGCAGAGCCTCCCCCACCCCGCCTCTCTGCAGCCCCTCGCCTTGGTGGTGTGAGCCAGGAGCCCAGCGAGTTTCCCACACTTTGGCCCCATTCACAGTGTTAAACGGTCCACAAAGGCCAGGCGTGTGCCTCAGAGGCCGCTGGAGCTGCCATCTGGCCCGCACTCAGGGAGGGACGAGCCTTTCATCCGGCCGGCTGGGACTCAACACCACTCATTTCATATTTCCCACAACTGAAAATTGGATCAAAGCTGCCTGGTCCAGGGCGGGGGGGACAGGGGGAAGGCAGAGGGGAAGGAGGCAGCTTGTGGCCCACCCACCACCCTCACCTCCTGCAAACCACTGTCTTGGCCCATTGCGGGTGGGCGGGTCACTGGGATGAGGCGGGGGCTGGACCACATCTCCCAGCGGCACGTGTCTCATTTGGGGTGAGGAGCTGGCTCAGGGAAGAGACCAGGATAGGACACAAACCGTAGCCAAATGCCCCTCCAAAGCCTGGGGGGAAAAGGCCTGGCCTGGGTGGCAACCCCCCCATCTAGGCACAGCCCTGCTGCCAGTAGTCAGGACACGTGTGGGCTCAGACCTATTTGCAGCTGGTGGAGGTGGTGGCCAAGGTCGGCCTGGGCCCCAGCAGGGCTTGCACAGCCTATGCCCTGAATCCTGGTCTGCACCTCCCTGGTGCTGGGCCTGTGGGGTGGGGCATAGGACACTGAGTCCCCCACCCCAGCCTACCCCCAGGGAGCCCATAACCTCAAAATGTGACAGCCACCTAGCATAAGCCTCACTTTGGCTGCAAAACAGCTCCACTGAGTGTTACCAGCCCCCGCTTGCAGCTACTCCCACAGTGCCAGCCACTGCCAGTGTTTGGCAGGCTTGGAAGCCAGGGCAAGAACTCAGTGGCCTGACAGTGCCTCCTGGGTGCCCTCTGCCCTTCTGCATCAAAAGAACCAAAGCAGCCTGGTGAGGTCCTATCTACTCAGAGAGGAGCCCCAGCCTCAGAGCTGAGCTTTGCTGCCTCCCTCAGTGGCCTGGGGCTAAGTACCCTCTGGGGGAGATATTGGTTCTCTGGGGGTAAGATACCAGAGGGCAAACAGGGGCTCCCTTTCTTCCCCCTCCAAAGTTACCTATAATTTCTACCCAGAGCCCTTCAGCCTACCCTATCTACAGTGGCCAGCTGTCCCATGGGAGTGCCACCCTGTGCTGGCATCAAGTAGAGCCTCCTGGCTGTCCTGGCACTGTCCCAACTGCTTTCTGAATGGGCCCACCCTTGGGTAACCAATGGCTCCTTGTGCTGAGCGACCCCTGGAGCCAGGTCCACCAAACAACCCACTCAAAGCCATAGGCTGCTGCCAAGACGCAGGGGGTGGACTCCTGATTGGACTTTTGTTAAGCCCTGGCCACATTTGGATATTGCAGCCATCTGTCCAGGGAACTGAGCTCCTGGATTTAAACTCTGGCTAAAGTGTCCTGATGCCAGCTCCTGGCTCCCAGGGCTGAGGCCCTTCCGCTTGGACCTGGCTGGGCCCCAATCTCCCCCTAGGAGGCAGTCCAGACCCCACCTCCTCCCTTAGTCTCTGCAGCAGAGAGACAAAACTATAACCACTCTAGGTGAAGGGGGTCTCTCAAGGGACCCTCTCCTAGTGGCCTGAGGTTGCTTGCCCCAAAGCAGCTTCTGGCCCTCAGCTCAGCTGGCCGGGTTATCGGGGCTAACCAGTCCAGGCCAAGTTACCTGAACTGATAACCAGGGTTATCAGTTGCTCCCACGGGTCCCTAGGGGGCCCATTGGAGCTGGTGTACCCATGTGGGCTCCAGGCCTGCCCAGCTCTGATTCTCATGTCTGCCACCTGGTACCACCCCCTCCCACTAGTAGGACACTGAAGGAAGGCAAGCTTGACCAGTGCCTCCCAGGCCAGGCAGAAAGGTGATGTGTGGCTGCTGCTTCTCGTTAGTCTGACGTGAACAGTGACTTTGCCAAGAGCTATAGGCCCTCGTCAGCTCCACAGACGCTGCAGTAGGAATCCTGGCCAGATGGGGATGGGGAGAGGCCTCGAGGGGCACCTGCTGGTTCACAGAGCAGCCCAGATGCTCTGCCTGGTGAATTACGGAGGGTAGCATGCAGAAGCTCCCCAGGTCTGTCTCAGTGCCACACTCAAAGCTGAACTTTTCACACGCTCTGGCCAGCCCTGGAAACTGCCCAAAGCCCTGCCATTTTAGAGGTCTGGATAAGTCATGAGTTCAGGTGACAGTCTGGAGGTTTGAAACATGGGCTAGCAAGGCTCATGTGAAGAGCCTCTCCTTCACCCCCTCCCACCTGTGGGCAGGGTACAAGTACTTGATCAGGAGAGTGAGGTCCCTGTGTCACCTCTGGGTGCAGGACCAGCAGGTCCCTGCCAGGGAGGGCACCCATCCTCCCATGCACTTGTTAATTCCAAAGCTTTTCCCTTATCTGCGCCTGTGGCCTCTGCCAGCAGTAGGGAGTCGCGGAGGAGGGGGTGTCGCTCCTTCCTGGCCGCAGCCTGGGAAAAGGCAGCATATTGCGGCGCGGGGCTCCCAGCATCAGGCCCGGGATGCTAATGAGGCGAGCGCGTTCCCACAGCCCGGACATTGTGCCGCGCGGCCCACCTGCTCCTCGGGGAGCGCCCATTGTGCCCACGCCGATTCACAGGCAATTCAGCGTGCGCTAATGGGCCGGCTCCTTTGTGCGGCCCGCGCGCCATTGGCCGCAGAGTGTGGGAACGGCCGCGGCGCCCGGGCCCCAGGCGCCAGGCTGCCGCCCGCGCCTATATAGGGCGCTAGAGCGCAGGGCCGGTGTCCGCGTCAGCCCGGGACGTGCCCGCCCGCCTCGCCGCCGCCCCCGCGCCAGGCATGGCCCCCAGCACCGTGGCCGTGGAGCTGCTCAGCCCCAAAGAGAAGAACCGAGTAAGTGCCAGCCCGTCCGGCGCGCGGTCCCCAGCGGTCCCCGCGCCGGCGCGGCGCCTGACACCACCTCCTCCCGCAGTTGCGGAAGCCGGTGGTGGAGAAGATGCGCCGGGACCGCATTAACAGCAGCATCGAGCAGCTAAAGCTGCTGCTGGAGCAGGAGTTCGCCCGGCACCAGCCCAACTCCAAGCTGGAGAAGGCCGACATCCTGGAGATGGCCGTCAGCTACCTGAAGCACAGCAAAGGTGAGCCCGCTCGGCCGCCCGCCCCGGCCGCTCGCCCCGCCCCGGCCCGGCCGTCCGCGCTCACCGCGCCCCGTGTCCCTGCAGCCTTCGCCGCCGCCGCCGGCCCCAAGAGCCTGCACCAGGACTACAGCGAAGGCTACTCGTGGTGCCTGCAGGAGGCCGTGCAGTTCCTGACCCTCCACGCCGCCAGCGACACGCAGATGAAGCTGCTCTACCACTTCCAGCGGCCGCCAACCGCGCCTGCCACAGAGCCCAAAGCGTCCAGCGCTGCGCCCGCGCCTGCGCCCGCCCCAGCCAAGGCCGCTGCGCGTCAGCCTGCCTGCGGCCTCTGGCGGCCCTGGTGACCGGCGAGGACCAGAGGGCGAGCCCGTTCCTCTCGCATGTAGGGAAGAGCCTTCCCACCGGCGTCGGGCCCCAGGCGTGGACGCCCCTTCTCCGGAAGGCTCCCTCCCTAGGCTGGCCGGCCAGCAGGGGAGTCATTCTCAGAGAATGTGTGTGCAGAGTCCTTGTCGATTTAGGACAATCAGGGCCCGTCTTCTGCCAAGTGTCTGACCCCAAGGGGTTGTTTTGTGTTGGTATTTCAGCAAGTGACTTCTGGGAAGTCCCCGGCCACCGGGGTTCTATGATATCTGTAGGTGGCAGGGGCTCGGTGAGCGGGCCCCCAGCCTGTAGAGGACTTTCTTCAGGGCCTGTTGCTGCTGGGCCAGCACCCCGCAGGCGGCCGTGCCGTGGGCACATTTGCCTTTTGTGAAGGCTGAACTCAGGGTGTATCCTCATAGGAAAGGTTGTCAGCCTGGACAGCACCAAGGGCCACATGGAGCCCAGGCCCATGGGCCCTGCGTGTGCTTGGTGGGCTGGTGGGGCTCACAGTGGGCTATGTTGGGGGGGGTGTCTGTACTATGATCCTCAAAGGATTCTTCTGTGTGGGTGGGTGCACATGGGCATGACTTGTACTCAGAATTTGAACTCTTGGTCACGTGGGTGCCATGGGGCTGCTCTGAAGACTTCAAATAAAATCTAAGTCCTCCTTGGTTGTCTGTTCTTGTGCCTCACACCTGTCCTTGGCAGCCATGGGGTCAGATCTACCATGGGCACTCCCATGGCAGGCAGCCACCGGGGAACTGGTCCTCACCAGTGACCCTCTAGACACAGAAGGGCCAAATCCTGGCTGAGGGAGGAAGGTTGGAAAGTGAGAGGGCAGAGGAGTAGCTGGTTGGAGGGCGGGGGGGTGAGGGAGAGAGCTGGTGATGGGCAGGGCCCCTGGGAAGCTGGCTGGAGAGGCAGCGGTGGTGGGAGCCAGCTCCCTGGAGGTGGGAATGGGGGAGAATAGGACCTTCATCATTGTCCACTGAGTGGGGGAGCCGGAGGCCACAGCCTGGAAGCAAAAACTGGCTTGGCCAGGCCAAACAAACAGGAGAAAATATTTGCCCCCAGCCCCTGCCCCACCCCACCCCCACAGCCTGTAGCACCCTGGACAAGTTCGCAGGGCACCTGCTTGACTGGTCCACGGCACCATCGCTGCAGGCCTGCTGGCCACTTGCCAGGATTGAGTCAGGCGGTGCTGGCCGTGAACCTGCCAGGGATGACCTGCTGTCTCACAAAGGGCACCTATTTTTAGGTAGCTACAGGGTGTTAACCAAGTCTGAAGAACCCAGAGCCACAGCTCCCAAGCATCCTAGCTCCTCTAGGGCAAAAGCCACTCAGCAAGCAGTGTAAGAAAGCATGCATTCCCACATCCTCTGCTCCCACGCCCATGCCCGGACGTGGGCCTGCTCTGCCCTGCTGCTTCTGGCTCTGCACCACCTCCCTCCCTGTCTGTCCCTCCAGACCAGTCTCTTGAGTCCCTGCTAAACTCTGGGTTGGTAAACAGAAAACAGAATGGGGCTCCATTTGTTCCACATGTTTATTGCATGTGCAGCTGGTATGTGGGGTGTGAAGAGAGACAACTGTGCATCCTGCCAGGCTGGCCCACCACACACTTGCTGCCAGGGTCTGAGTCCCCTGGGGTCTGTGCCCTATCAGGAGCAGACGTTCCTCTCCCACCCAGAGTGGTACACCCACCCCTTTGGAAGACACAGACCAGGCTGTGTTCTCCCTAAGACCTTGCCTGACACACCAGTGGGTCACCTTGGAGCTCTGAGTTTGTGTTGCTCCAAAGGTCTGTGTCCCAGGAACCCTGCCAGGCAGCTGGCGTTACCTTCAGCGTGTAGAAACACACAGTGACAGGCCCAGGGTCACCTGGGAGGCAGATGCTGAAGCCACCTTAGGGCACCATCTGTTTGTTTTCCACACTGGGCAGGGCCTCTAGAAGGCATGCATTTCCCAAGGGTCACCGCCGTGCCAGCAGGGGGTTCCCTGCACATTGCTTGTCCTGTGCTCGGGTGTGGGGTGCCTCCTCAGTGTGCACCCTGTGCTCTGCCACAACACTAGAGCCTACATCTCCCGTAGCTGCAAGTATGCATCCCACCAGGGCCGGGGGCTCCTCCAGGGCAGGGTACCCAACTTCCCTAGTTTGCATGAGACTTAGCACGGAAAGTCTCACAATCCCGGGGAACTGAGGTGATGGGTCATCCCAGCAGAGATAACACAGGCATTATTCGCCTTGGCAAGGAAGACCAAGGTAACAACAGCAGGAGCACACTGGAAAGGGCAGGTCTGAGAGTCTGCAAACCAAGGCGTCCTCCCCGGCAGCTGGAGTGCGGCCTGGTCCGCCTGGCCAAAGAACATTACGCAGATGTCCTGCGTTCGATCTCTGGAGGCTAAGTGCCCGCCCTCCCACAGCCTCAGGCCTCTCAGACCCTTGCCCAGGACTGGCCAGAGCCCGCCGGCAGCCGACAAGAGCGACGAGCGGGGCGGGGCCGGAGTCTCATTAGCATAATCTATGCGCAGAGGGCGTTTAGCAGTCAAATATATGCGCATATATCTCCATGGCTGATGAGACTGGCCGGGCACTTTCAAAATGGCGGAGTGTGGAGTGAGCGGCAGCGGGAGCAGCGGGGACAGCCTGGACAAGAGCATCACACTGCCCCCAGATGAGATCTTCCGCAACCTGGAGAACGCCAAGCGCTTCGCCATCGACATAGGTAGCCGTGGGCCTGGTAGCGGGCGCGGGCGCGGCGCGGGCGGGGCGCGGGCGGCGGGCCGACAGGCGGGGGCGATGAGAAGGACGAAGGGCGGGGGTGCGGTCCCCGCGCACAGCCTCATGGGCCTTGCAGTCCGCGCGGTCCCGCGCACACCCTCCCGGGCCTCGTAGTCCAGGAGGCGCAGGCGCGCGGGTTCGGGTGGCAGCCGCACTACAGCTCCCGGCAGACCCTGCGCGCGCCGCAGCGAGGCGCGCTGGGCCCTGTAGTCTCCGCGCTGCTGTCCCTGAGCCAAGAGGCCTGCGTCCGCCGTCGCCTGCTGCGAGAATGGCTCGAATCTTCCGCGGGAAGGTCCGCCCCCTGCCACCACCGGTGGGCAGCCTGAGATTAGGGGTCCTTCTTTGTGGCCGAGATGAGGACAAGCGTGGCCCCACATTGGCCCCGCATTTCTGTGGCCTGACCCGCTGTGGCCCGCGGGCCCAGCCGAAAGGCCAGCTCCACCCTAGCCTACGCTCTCTGGAGTGTGGCCCTCCAGCACGAGTGCAGGCGACCGTGGACGTGGAACTTTGAACTTATCCTTAGGTTTTCAAAGCCTCCCATGCCTTCCCGTGGCTTTCAAGGTAGCCGAGCGCTTCTAGGACCTTTTAGGGGCGGTGCTGCAGACCCTCACGCCCTCCTCCTGTGCCAAGGGCCATGCTCTCAGTCCTGACCAAGCGCAGGGCTAAATGTTTCTGAAATGCAATTGCAGTTAACCTCCTCCCACGCTGCTGACTTCTTCACACTGCCCACCAATCCCTTGAGGAAGTGCAGGGATTCCACACAGGGATGAAAGAACTTGCCCAGGGTCGCCTGGCTGGTGGGTGCCAGAACCAGTATTAGAACCCAGCTCACCCCACTTGCTCCGCTGCTCTGCCCATGTTTCAGGGGGGAAGGCTTGAGGGTGGATGGCTTCACTGGGGGAAGCACCAAGGGACCACTAAGGCTTGGCACACATCCCCTTAGCCCTGATCAGCTATAGGCTGAGTTTGCTTGCCAGCTGGTAGCTGTCAGTGTGAGACGGTGAAGCCCACCAAAGCAGGTTGGTGTCCTGAAGCCTCAATCCCCAATACGACACCTGATCTGTCTTAGCTGCTCAGTAAATACTTAAGTAGACAAAGTACTGCCTGCTTCCCACCTCCCTGGAAAAGTTAGGGCATAAGAAACAGACCAAGGCTATTCCTTCCATGCTTTTCGCTTCTGGTGCATTAAATGCATTCCGTGTTCTGGAGTCCTGGGCTTGAGGTGTCACTCTCCTTGTGGTGCCCCAGTAAGGGAGGAAAGTGTTCCCCAGGGAAGTAGGGAGCAATGAGAATGGAAACATGGCCTAGATCATTGGTTCCTACCTTGTAGTGAGCTTATGAGAGACAGTGCTTTGGGCGGGGGTGGGCTTGGACTGGTGACAAGTGTGAGGATGAGCATGAAAATACATCTGGAAGGAAACCTGGCAGAACTTGGTGACTGGACACTGGGTGGAGGTGGTGAACTTGCAAGCCAAACCTAGGGTATTGCTCACAGTGGGCCTCTCCAGAGGCTGCCCAGCCGGCGCTCCACCTTGAGTCCTCCACCCACACCCAATAGAGTGTGTGCTTTGAAAGACTCTGGACTTCCTTCCGCTGCCCTCACACTGGGGGTTCTAGAATGTTAATGGGAACAAGTTGGGGCTAAATGTTACTGAAATGCAATTGCAGTTAACCTGCATAAGTCTCCTGGGGAACAGCTTATAGAAAGGGGCTTACCATGAGTGTTCTGTGTGGTTGGAGCCACAGACTTAGAGCTGTCCAGGAAGGGCTGCCCTAGCTCTGCAGGGCCTTGGAGCACTGGCCTGCCTTTCCTGCCGAGCTCAGGAGGCAGAAGGACTTTCAGAAGGACCTATTTCATGTTGGTATTTGTTTCCTCTCTTTGAAAGTTTCTCCCCTGGGTCCTACGTATCTGGTTCTTAAGAGAACATATTTACTGTTACTGAGGACAGAGCTTTGTTATTACTACTGCTGCTGGGCGGTCACAGTTCCATAACCCAAGGATCTGCAAAGCCATTGTGTTTGTTCAAGTGTTGCTTAGAAACGGGCTTTTTCCATTTCCTCTTCCCTCGCCTATGTTCCTGCATCCAGGAGGCCTCAGCTGCTCTGTGTTCTGGCAAGCCCTTTCCCTTTCTCCGTTAGAGGTACCAATGTCACCTGGGTTGATTCACTTCGAAAGCATCAGGGATATATTACATGCTTGCTTGAAACTTCTATCTGACCTCAGGTTTCTGTGAGCTGCAAGGAGGGTCCCACAGGGAGCATGTGAGATAGGAGGGGCCACAGGGCAGTGATGTGCTGGACTGACCCGCTCTTCTCAGCACCCACAGAGGAAAGACGGTGGAAAAGAAGACTGGCCCCCATGAGCCAGGGTGACAGGTCTTGGCTTAGGTGCTGACGGGTGCGGTTGATCTCACCTCTAGGAAGCTTCTTAAACCAGGTGATGCCGTTGGCCTTGAGTGGAGTATGGGCTAGCCTGGAGTATGGGAGAGCCTGAGAGGTGGCCTGCCAGGGAGCAAGCCTTGTGACTGCATTGTCAGGTGTGGTCTACCACACTAAACTCACTTGCATTTGACCCACCACACCCCAGGCCCCTTTTGGTTCCCTCCTGGGAGAGGGAAATAGGAAGATGGGGATCTTGCCTTGACTGGCTTCTTAGCAGGCGTTGCTTGTGGGTGGGGCAGATCTCACCCCCACCCCCATCTCTGCTGTGGCCTTTTTTTGCATGTGAGTTAAAAGTAACCCAAAGAACACAGATCCTGAAATTGGACTTCTGTGACTTCAGAATTTTTTTTTTTTTGAGACAGAGCCTTAAGCTATTCCCCTGGGTAGAGTGCTGTTGCATCACAGCTCACAGCAACCTCCAACTCCTGGGCTCAAGTGAGTCTTCTGCCTCTGCCTCCCAAGTAGCTGGGACCACAGGTGCCTGCCACAACACCTAGCTATTTTTTGGTTGCAGCCGTCATTATTGTTTGGCAGGTCCAGGCTGGATTTGAACCCGCCACCTTAGGTGTATGTGGCTGACACCTTAGCCACTTGAGCCACAGGCGCTGAGCCTGTGACTTGGGAATTTTTTTTTTTTTTTTTTTTTTTTTTTTTTTTGAGACAGAGCCTCAAGCTGTCCCCCTGGACAGAGTGCCGTGGCATTACAGCTCACAGCAACCTCCAACTCCTGGGCTCAAGCGAGTCTCCTGCCTCCGCCTCCCAAGTAGCTGGGACCACAGGCGCCCACCACAACGCCCGGCTATTTTTTGGTTGCAGCCGTCATTGTTGTTTGGCGGGTCCGGGCTGGGGATTCGAACCCGCCACCTTAGGTGTACGTGGCTGGCGCCTTAGCCGGTTGAGCTATAGGCGCTGAGCCGGGAATTTTTTATAGTGATTTTTGACCAGGCTCTTAAAACATACATTTATCTTCTAGTATCTTCTGTGTTTTTAGAAAATGATTTATTCATAGAGGTGAATTGGACCACATGTGTTTTAATGGAGCTCTCGGGCCAGGCCAGGCTAGGCTCAGGGGTAGGAAGGAGGGGTAAGGAGGCTTAAGACCATGGGGAGAGGACGAGGCCACCTGTGACACATCCACTAAACCACACCAGGGCCACCCAGGGTCCTGGCAGAGGCAAGGTCACAGGGCCACCCTGGGAGACCCATCTATGCCCTCTGGCGGTGGCTCCACAAGACAGGCTGCCATCAGTCTTGGAAAAGCTGGTTTCATTTTTGTGATGTGGAACAGCTTTAACACCTGCATGCCTTGGTGTTTCCAAATCCATTTACTGACTTGAGGCTGTGATCTCATATTCCCATAGTATTTTGTCTCAAAACAAATCAACTGTTTGAAAATCATTTTAGCCTTCTTACTCTTATAATGTGGGAGTTTTGCTGGTTTCTCTAAGTCACTCTGCAGCATTTTGTTTGTCCTGTTTTCGTTCCGGGGCCTTCAAGTCTATGAGTGTAACCGAAGCTTCACAAATACCTCTTCTCTGATTTGGAAATGAGGCTGGGTGCGATAGCTCACACCCATCATGCCAGCCATCTGGGAGGCTGAGGCAGGAGGATCATTTGAGGCCAGGTATTTAAGACCAGCCTGAGCTAGAACAAGACCCTATCTCTACCAAAATAGAAAAAAAATTTGCACGTGGTGGCTAACACCACTATAGTCCCAGCTACTCGGGAGGCTGAGGCAGGAGGATGCTGGAGCCCAAGAGCTGGAGGCTGCAGTGAGCTATGATGGCACCACTGTGCTCTAGCCCAGGGAAAGAGTGAGCTAAAAAAAAAAAAAAAGCACATTGAAGTCCATACTTAAAAATGCCTTGTTTGAGAATCTTTTTATTATAACTTACTCTAAAATGTATTTCAGGTAAATGAAGTCCTATTCTGTTTCCTGATATGTAGTTCAGACTTTGATTATAACATGTGTGGGGCTGCAGGGCTTCCTGAGAACATCAGAAAGACTCTGTCCGGGGGTGGAGGAGCTTGGGTGGCTTCTATGTGATTCTTCTGGCCACTTAGGGGCTGGGGCTGTATCCTGCAGCTCAGAGCCTCTGGAGGGTAGGGCGCAGCTTCCTAGCCTTTGTCTCTCAGAGTTCTCTGAAAAAGATGGGTGGTCAGGTGTGTACTTCTTGAATGAAAACATCCTACACTTGTTGGCTTATTGTTTTGGTTCATCAGCAAGATCAGAGCTTGAAATTGAAATTTCTTAAACCATTAAGGATTGCCAAGGTCTCCCAGAAATGGGCTGGTTTCATTTGCTCTGTAGGACTCAGTGCCACAGGGGAAATGAAAAACCTTGAACTCATTGGGATTAGGACCTGAAGATGGAAATAACTTTTTATTTTGAGACAAGATTCCCACTGTCTTGCCCTGGGTAGAGTGCCATGGGGTCAAAGCTCACAGCAACCTCAAACTCTTGGGCTCTACGGATCTTCCCTCATCCTCCCAAATAGCTGGGACTCCAGGTACCTGCCACAATGCCTGGCTGTTTTTTAGAGGCAGGTCTTCCTTTTGCTCAGGCTGGTCTTAAACTCCTGAGCTCAGACTGCTGGGATTACAGGCATGGTCTTGGAAAGAACTTTTAAAAGAAACAAAGCATTTTGATTCAATCCTTCGTTTCTCTCCTTCCTCTGTTTTGTGCCCACAGGGCTTTTAAGTCCAAGTAGCATCAAACACCTTGACCATAGAGACTCCAGGATATAGAGACAGACATCTGGAAACTCCCCAGAGAGCTCAAAGAAGGGTGAATGCCTAGGCCTCCTTTCATCCCAGCCTAAATTTTGCCTGGCTTTTGTCTCCCCCTGTAGGTGGATCGTTAACTAAGCTGGCTTACTATTCAACGGTGCAACACAAGGTCGCCAAAGTGAGGTCTTTTGACCACTCAGGAAAGGTGAGCTTGTGCTGCAGCCACCTATGGGCAGACCCAGTGGCCTGGGGCCAGGCAGCTGCTTCCCTGTCATCCTGGACTTGGCACTTCTCTTTGTCACGCCCGCAGTTCTCTTAGCTGTTCGGGAAGTCTTTAGTATGGACAGCCCTCCCTGTCTTGTGCTCAGTGTCCCTTCAAGCCCCCTTGCAGGGATGTTTACACCTGCTTGAGATCCTTGGGGAGGTTTCCTCATGCTCTTGGGCTGCCCTGGGGTCTCTGGAGTCCTGGCCCCTCCTCTCTTGCCCTGGACTCTGCCTAGGAACTGCAGCTGCTGCCCCAGCCCCACCCATCTCCAGGTGGATGCAAACGGCCCCAAACCTTCTCTTCCAGGACATGGAACATGATCACGAACCACCCTACGAGATTTCCGTTCAGGAAGAGATCACTGCTCGGCTGCATTTCATTAAGTTTGAAAACACCTATATTGAGGCCTGCTTGGACTTCATCAAAGACCACCTGGTCAACACCGAGACCAAGGTCATCCAGGCGACAGGAGGCGGGGCGTACAAGTTCAAGGACCTCATTGAGGAAAAGCTACGGCTAAAGTGAGTGGGTGGGTGAGGAAAACATACCCACCCACCCCCGCCACTCCCGTGGGCACCGGCAGCTACAGGGAGGACAGTTGTCAGTGCTGTGTGAGCTGTCCCTGCAGCCACTGCTCTCAGAAGCCTCAGCTTGGCTGTGCCTGGCAGCCGTGTCTGCAAGTGACCACGTCACACGGGGGTGCTGCCCAGCCTGGCTCTGCTGATCGTGGTCAGTCCCTTTCTGTGGCTTGGACTCTTTAAGGAGCTGGGCTCCCTTCCTTTTCAGGGTTGACAAGGAGGATGTGATGACATGTTTGATAAAAGGCTGCAATTTTGTGCTGAGGAACATCCCACAGGAGGCCTTCATTTATCAGAAGGATTCTGACCCCGAGTTCCGCTTTCAGACAAACCACCCCAACATCTTCCCCTACCTTCTTGTCAATATTGGCTCTGGAGTCTCTATTGTGAAGGTGAGAGTTGGCTTCATAAATGGCTGAATGAATGATTCAGCCACTGTTGGTTAAGCACTTGCTCTGTGTGGAGCCAAATGCTGTGCCCAAGGACAGAGATAAACCTGGCAGGGACTGGCATTCCTGGAGATGAGGCCCAAACTGCAGGCCCTTGCTGCTGGCATTGGTGAGGCCCAGACCAGCCTACAAGGGCATCCTCACTCTGGCAGCATGGGGAGGGGGAGTGCCCCAACCACAGCACCCCCACAATCCTGCTGATATGCCCACCCTGGTCCTGTCCCAGGTGGAGACTGAGGACAGATTTGAGTGGGTTGGCGGCAGCTCCATTGGAGGTGGCACCTTCTGGGGCCTTGGGGCTCTGCTCACCAAGACCAAGGTAGGCTCCAGCTGTGGGGTGCTCCTGGGTGCATGGGGGCTTCTGGCCTCCCAGGGAAGACTGGAGGCTGTGTGACCTGAGGCTACTGCCTGGCTGGGTGTGCTGTGCAAGAGGCTCCATCCTTGGCCTCCCTAAGTGCACTGGGCTCTGAAGGATGGGTGTCCAGGTGACCAGAACAACCCCCAGCAAGCGGCACACAGTCCTGCTCACCACCCGTCACTGGTGGCAAGTGGGAGGGAGAGCTGCTTGAACTCTCACCTGTCAGTGGTGGCACATGGGTAGAGACGGTTATTTGAACTTAGGCTGCGGGGGCAGCAGCTTTCTGTGGCCTGTGGGTGGGAGGGTCTGGGGTCTCCTAGCTCTGGGCTTGCAGCTCTCCCTCCCTTCTGTCCCTGCAGAAGTTCGATGAGCTGCTGCACCTGGCCTCGAAGGGCCAGCACACAAACGTAGACATGCTGGTGCAGGACATCTATGGGGGTGCCCACCAGACCCTGGGGCTGAGCGGCAATCTCATCGCAAGCAGCTTCGGGAAGTCAGCCACCACTGACCAAGGTACCCACGCAGCCTCTGTCACCGTGGGGGGCCAGAGGCAGTTCTCTGGGACCTCAACAGCAGCACACTTGGGATCCTGGGGACAGCAGTCTGACCACTGGCTGTCAGGTCTACATGCCAGCTCCTTGGAGAGATGGGCTCCAGGAGTCCGCCCATGACACTCACCCATCAGGTCCCCGCAGCTCAGTGTAGTGCAGGCCTGTTTTATAAATAAAACATAAAAGTAAAGCATAAAAGTAAAGCATAAAAGTAAACACCTTCAGTCTCCATTTGGGAGAAACTACATGGGCAGTTCCTGTGAGTTACAAGTGGTTTGGGTCCCCTGCACCTTAGAAACCAAAGCCTGATCCCCTTAGGAGTGATTCACCTGTCACGGGTGTCCTGTGCTCTGGAGCTCTCCCCCTCCCTCACCCCAACCCTGCACCAGAGCTCATACCTCCCACCTGGTCCCCCACCCCACACCAGAGCTCACACCTCCCGCCCCATCCCCCATCCCTCACCAGAGCTTACACCTCACACCCTCCTCCTTCATCCTCCACCTGCACTCATGCCTCCCACCCCCAGAGCTTACACCTCACACCCTCATCCCCCACCAGCACTCATGCCTCCCACCCCCCACCGGTGCTCATAAGTCACACCCTGTCTCCCACCATCAGAGCTCACACTTCACACCCTGTCCTCCACCCTCCACTCCACCAACACACACCTCACACCCTGTCCCCCACCCCTCACCTGTGCTTACACATCATACCCCATTCCCCTATCAGAGCTCATACCTCACACCCCATCCCCCACCCCCCACCAGTGCTCACACCTCATACCCGACCCCCCAATCAGAGCTCATACCTCACACCCCCACCCCCCACCCGTCACCAGCGCTCATACCTCATACCCCATCCCCTACACCCTAACAGTGCTCACACCTCATGTGGTCTCTCTACTCCTCAGAGTTCTCCAAGGAGGACATGGCCAAGAGTCTGCTACACATGATCAGCAATGACATCGGGCAGCTTGCCTGCCTCCACGCCCGGCTGCATAAGCTGAACCGGGTATACTTCGGGGGCTTCTTCATCCGGGGCCACCCTGTGACCATGCGTACCATCACCTACAGCATCAACTTCTTCTCCAAGGTAACGGTGTGGCCTCCCCAGCGCTGTGGCTGCTTCTGCCCCCCCCCCCCCGAACAGTCGCCTGACACAGACCCACATGTCTCCCAGAGCGGCAAACTGCCCACCCTGGCTCACCAGGGAGCCTGGCACCCACCCATCCCTCCCTCTGGCCAGCATGAATTCCCTGCACTTTGTGGCACTGTGTCTGCTTATGGGTCTGAGCATGTCACCATGATCCACACTCTAGGGACAGTCTCCCCGTCAACAAGGGTCAATACCACTTAGAAACACTATACAGTGCCTGCCAACCAGGCCTGCCCTCAGTGTACTGGGCCAGTCAGCAGCCCAGCCAGTGGTGGTTAATCTCATAGAAGGACTCTGACTCAGGTTCTTGAGCCAGTGGGTGCAGACCATTGCCCAGTGTGCTGGGGACGGCACTGGGAGGGCATGCAGCATGAGGCACCTGTCAACTTGGTTTAGAGCAATTCCCACTGCCAGGGCTGCCTCTGACCGGCTACACGTGGGCTTTGGCCATGGCAGGGGGAAGTCCAGGCGCTGTTCCTGAGGCACGAGGGCTACCTGGGCGCCATTGGCGCATTCCTGAGAGGGGCCGAGCAAGACAGTGAGTAGGGCAGCCTCTGCCTCTGTGGGCAGCTCGGCCACGAGGACCGCGGCCTGTGGTCAAAGCAGCGGTGGGCGGGGGGCTGAGGCCTCAGGGCTAACTCAGTACGTTTGTGCCCTTTCCTGCCCCACTTTCACCCTGGATCAGGGGCAAGGCTGACCCGAGCACCGGCCTCTCTTTCCAGACCCCAACCAGTATAGCTGGGGGGAGAACTACGCGGGTAGCTCCGGGCTGATGAGCACTGCACCTGAACTGGGCCCCACACAGCGGGCAAGGAGCGGCACTGTGAGTAGCACTTGGCTGTTGGGGTCTTGAGTGAATAGTCTGTACCGGCTAACCGCCAGGGTCCCTAAGAACAACCCCATCACGGTGGCAGGTGCACAGGTGCCCTTCTAACGAATGACACACATGTGCTTGGGGCCTGAGCATAGACTGCAGGCTTATCCTTAGACACCTGAGCCCAATGTTGGCGGCCTTGGGGCCTGAGCACAGACTCCAAGTTTGTCCAGAAATGTCTGAGCCCGCTGTCCCCAGCTCTGGGGCCTGAGTGCAGACTCCTCCAGGCTTATCCCGACACATCTGAGCTAGCTGCTATTGGCCCTCGAGTTTGTGTCTGCTGTCACGTTTGTGAAACTCAGTGGCAGCTCTGTGTCTGGCCCAGCCCCTGTTGCAGAGAGTACACTGGTTCAGGGAGGACCAGGGGTCCCAGCTCATAGCCAGGTCAGGGTCAAGCCCTGGAGTAATAGGAACCTGCTCTTCTCAGATCCTTTCCTCAAATTCCTACTTGGGGTGAAGCGCATGGGACTGAATGGTGGGTTTGTCCTCGGCTGAGCAGAGCAGAGCGCTTTGTGGTTGGCAGGCAGAGAGATGGACCTATTGGTGGGAGCAGCTGTGAGCAGTATACCCTGGCTGGTTTGTTCCCTTTGCAGCTCAGTGAGCAGACACCTGGCCACCTAAGTAGTAGGTGGTCAGAGCACCCCCTTCAGGGACCAGCTGCTAGCATAGTTGGCAGAAAATTGCCTTTTTTTTTTTTTTTTGTAGAGACAGTCTTACCTTATCTGCCATGGTGTCACACAGCTCACAGCAACCTCCAACTCCTGGGCTTAGGCGATTCTCCTGCCTCAGCCTCCCAAATAGCTGGGACCACAGGCACCTGCCACAGTGCCCAGCTATTTTTTGTTACAGTTTGGCTGGGGCCAGGTTTGAGCCCGCCACCCTCGGTCTATGGGGCTGGCTCCCTACCCACTGAGCCACAGGCGCCATCCTGGAAAGTTGCTTTTCGTTTGGGAACACAGGTCCTTGTAGGTGAGAACATTTTCAGGATCATGCCAGATCAGGTCTTGACTTCTCAGGAGCGCTCCCCTCAGCTCACACAGTGTGGGGCCCGCACAAGCATTGCTGCACCTGCTATGGCGGGATGGGGGTGGGAGGACCCCCTGCGGGCGGAACACAGGCTCCTGGCTCACTCATCACTGAGGACTAGTATTTGGAAGAGGGGCTGGTGTCTGCCAGCCTATTTGCGATTTGTCAAATGTTTGCTCAGATTCTTGCTTCAGCAATTGTAAAATTAAATTCTGAGAGGGCAGCAGTCCTTTGTCAATGCCAGTGCAACCTGGGGTGTCCTTTGGTGATGCCGCTATGAGGAGGAGCCACCTTGGCAGGAGTCTGTTTTGTGCTCAGCTGCCCCCGGTGTCCTCAAGGGGTCGGGAATCCTGTATCACTGAGGGACAGACCTGAGTGTGGAAAGACCAAGCTGCTGCTTCAGGTTTACACAGCCCAGAAGAGGCAGAGCTGAGACTGAAAGTCCCATTCTGTCAGGATAGTGGGGAGGGCCCAGGGCTATCAGGCAGGCCCACAGGGAAGGCAGTGACCGAGGGGCCCACCACGGTTCACAGACAGCTCCTGTCACCTTGCTTTCATGACTTTGGAGATGTAGCAGCTTTCCCTGCTTCATGGAGGTGTGTTTTTACGCTTTGAAAGTCTTTCTCTCTCGGTAGATCTCACCATCCAGGCAGCCTCAAGAGTTGCAGGCAGAAGCGCCCCTGAGAAGGGTCTCAGGAGCAGCTGTGGAGGGCAGGGAGGGGCCTGGTGCACTTGCAGGAGTCCAACTCTCCCAACAGATTATAGAAAGCACCTCAGTCGGGTGGTCATCTGAGAACACCCAGGGGCCTTGTGTGCTGAGCAGTGGCCTGGCCCTCGCTGAGTGCAGCCTAGGGGCCAACATGCCATGAGGACTTGTAGCCCTGTGTGGAGAATGTGCTAGGAGTGGGGCACACTGGTGCGCAGTGAGGGCGGCAGACACTGGCACCAAGGAGCAGGGAGCAGCAGGTATCTGGACACTTGGGAGTGTAGGACACCATGTGAGTTGGTGTCAGAGCAGTCAGGGAAATCATCACTGTGTGGGTGTTGGGTCAGAGGGGCAACTGCAGGGGTAGTGGGGGGGGGGGCTTACAAGGTCAGGGGCCACACTGGGAGTCTTCTGGAGCAGACTGAGCCCCATTTCAAATATAGCGTCTGGCTCAGGCTGCTGGCCAGGGGTTCACATCTGTGCCTCAGAGTGAGGCAGTGTCAGTCTCTCCATCTTATCGGAAAGTGGAATTTACAAGGGGATGCTTTGGTCTTCCAGGAACCAAGATGATGTCTCCACCCTGTTGCTTCTTTTTCCAGTTTGACTTACTGGAAATGGACCGGCTGGAGAGGCCACTGGTCAACCTGCCCCTCCTCCTGGACCCATCCTCCTATGTACCTGACACCGTCGATCTCACTGATGACGCCCCAGCCCGCAAGTACTGGCTCACCTGCTTTGAGGAGGCCCTAGACGGGGTGAGTCCGTGTGGGGTTCCAGTGGGACTATTCTGAGCCCCCGCACAGCTAGCTGGTGATGAGGGGTGGGCTGGTTGATGGCTGATTGCCCTATCGGTAGGTTGTGAAGCGTGCCGTGGCGAGCCAGCCAGATTCTGCTGATGCTGCAGAGAGGGCGGAAAAGTTCCGACAGAAGTACTGGGACAAGCTTCAGACTCTGAGGCAGCAGCCGTTGTAAGTGTGTGCTGTCCTGGTGTGTGGCCACCTCTCTGCGTGCACCTCTATGAGGAGTGGCTGTGCTATTGGCTCTCAGAGCCCTGCTGGGGGAGCTGGGGTGCAGGCCCAGCAACTGTGGGCACCCCGGCAGCCTCCTCACTCCCCTGGCTGCCTTGGGCTTCCCGGGCTGCACGAAGACAGCCATAGTGAAATTGAGGGTGTGTGGACACGTGGGTACTCAGCCACTGCCCTCAAGGCCTCTGCCCTGCTTAGCCACCCTCCACTGTGGTCTGTCCCCAGTGCTTACGGGACCCTGACTGTGCGCAGCCTGTTGGACACGAGGGAGCACTGTTTGAACGAGTTCAACTTCCCGGACCCCTACTCCAAAGTGAGTGCCGCCCATTCTCAGGCAGGTGTGTGCCAGCAAGGGCTTCTGCTCACACCATTGTTGATCTCTGTGGCGAGGGCATCCTGTCCTGTCTGGGGCCATGCTGGTTCAGTGATGGCTCAGTGCTAGTGACAGGACTATGTGGTGCAGCTGCTGCTAGCCAGAGCCTCTGCTGACAGTGGCTGCTGTAGACCTGCATTGGAGGCTGCCACAGTGACCCCACAGATGACTAGAGGCTGGCAGGACTGCAGGGTGGTGGTGAAGGGAGAAAAGGGGAGCAGGATCTTGGAGAGGCACCACCACCTTCTACGGGAGCCAAGAGTCAGCTGCAAAGAGGGGGGACCACTCCTGCTCCCCAGGGGGCCTCAGACCCCAGGGCTTTCCATCTGCTCGCCTCCAGGAAGCTAGGCACCCCAGGCCACCTCTCCTCCCTGCGCTGAGGGCTAAGCACCCCGAGGTTGGCATCCCTGGGATCAGTCTCGCTTCTCTATGTCTGATGGCTGAGCCTAGAAACACTACCCTCTTCCTGGCCTCTTCTGACCCCTTCTGTCGAGGACCAGTGTCACACTGCTTCACCTACCTGTCACTCACACAGGACATCTGGTGACTGGGCAGGCCTGGGTGTCATTAGTGTGGACGTTAGGCATTGGGCACCCGTGGGGGTTTGTTGTCCACCCTTGCCCTCTCCCTTGGCCGCTGCTCAGGTACATGGGAGCTGAAACTCCCCCAGTCTTATCCTCAGAGTACCGTGCAGCTGTGGGCTGACAGCAGCAGCACTGCTAGCCCTTCCCTCCTGAGTCTAACAGGGGCTTTCTGCAGTGTGATCTGAGTGCTCAGGCTCTGGAGGGAGCATTGAGTGCATGTGCTCCATCCCCGCAGGGTTAGCACAGCCCTGTGAGCTCTTGACAGTCTCAGTGCAGGGTCCTTCCTCAGTGGTGCTCTGCTGAGGACCCTGGAAAGCTCCTGAGAGTGGTCCTAGGGAAGGGCCACGGTGTGGTTAGGACACATTTCCACTCAGAATCCAACGTTTCGTGTCCCGCAGGTAAAGCAGAAAGAGAACGGCATTGCATTGAAGTGCTTTCCGAAGACAGTTCACTCCCTGGACTCACTGGGTTGGGAGGAGAGGCAGCTGGCCCTGGTGAAAGGCCTTTTGGCAGGGAACGTCTTCGACTGGGGGGCCAAAGCTGTGTCCGAGTAGGTACCTGCAGTCCCGACCACCCTGTTCTTTTTTTTTCTCTCTGTCGGCAAGGCTCCAGCCGGGTGATCCCACAGCCCCTCCATTCCGTCCAAGGCTGCCCCAGCCTGGGCCGACTGCCTTGCACACAAGGAGGTGGGGTAGGGCCCTAAGGGGTGACTGGGCAGTTAGTGCTTCTCAGGCTTTCCTGATCATGAGGCCTCGGTGGTGAGCACACAGTGCCCTGGGGCTGTGCCAGCCCTGCGCCCTTCCTATGGTTCTGTATGATGGAGGCCTTGGGGTGTGGGTTTGAATTTGAGGCTGACATTTTCAGTGATCAAAATCCAAATGCATGTTTATCACATACAGTAGGAATTGAATGGTATTTACTACATGAATTGAAAAAGTACTTGGTGGTGGGGCAGCACCTGTGGCTCCCTGGGCAAGGTGCCAGCCCCATATACCAAGGGTGGCAGGTTCAAACCCAGCCCTGGCCAAACAAAAAAATAGCTGGGCATTGTGGCAGGCACCTATAGTCCCAGCTACTCAGGAGGCTGAAGCTGGAGAATCGCCTAAGCCCAGGAGTTGGAGGTTGCTATGAGCTGTGTGACACCACGGCACTCTACCAGGTGATAAAGTGAGACTCTGTCTCTACAAAAAAACAAAAAAAGTACTTGGCAAAGCATTCAGCAGATTAAGGTGTGGGCTTCGTGTGCCCCTAAGAACATTAGGTGTCCTCTCCTGGGCTCCCAATCTGTGGGTATCCTGGAAATGAAACATTTCCACAGTGACTGACCTCAGTTGGTCCCTGGCCTCACCGGTGACCCCATAGCGTTGTGGTCCCTCCCTTTGTATGTGGGGCCAGCAGGAGGCAGCCTGGGTTCCCATTGGGCATGACACAGGCTTCTCACAGGATAGCAGCTGGGCCTAGCCTCTGGGCTCTCCCTGGGTCCACTTATGTGTGCTTGCACACGTGTGACCACATCCCTCCTGCCCTCATCACTGCTGCCCTTTAGGAAGCGCTCCCTGTGGCCAGCATGCTGGAGACATTTGACAAGGGCCCTGCACCCCTGGGCATAGCTGTGCCTTATGCCCAGCAGCTCCCCACACATATCCTTCCCAGGGGGACATACATTTATGAGACTCTCTTGAGATTTTATAATTTATCTTGAGAAATATGGTTTATCGTTCTTTTAAAACCTCTGCCCACTGGCTCGGTGCCTGTAGCACAGTGGTTACTGCGCTAGCCACATACACCAAGGCTGGTGGGTTTGAATCCAGCCCGAGCCAGCTAAAACAACAACAACTGTAACAAAAAATAGCCGGACGTTGTGGCAGGCACCTGTAGTCCCAGCTATTTGGGAGGTTGAGGCAAGAGAATCACTTAAGCCCAAGAGTTTGACATTGCTGTGAGCTGTGATGCCAGGGCACTCTACCAAGGGCAACATAGTGAGACTCTCTGTCTCAAAAAAAAAAAAAAAAAATCACCTCTGTCCAGGCCAGACACAGTGGCTCACGCCTATAATGCCAGCACTTTGGGAGGCGAAGGTGGGTGGACCACCTGAACTCAGGAGTTCAAGACCAGCCTGAGCAAGAGTAAGACCCCATCTCTAAAAAAATAGCCAGATGTTGTGGGCACCTATAGTCCCAGCTACTCGGGAGGCTGAGGCAAGAGGATCACTTGAGCCCAAGAGTTTGAAGTTGCTATGAGCTGTGATGCCATGGTACTCTACCGAGGGCGACAAAACAAGACTGTCTCAAAAAAGAAAACAAAAACCTCTGCCCAGCAGCCTCTGGACTTTTTGCTGAACAGAAGGCAGTGATAACTGCCCATCATTAGCTGTGCGTTTGTTCTGCTTAGGAAGTGCTGTATTTGGGGTTTCCACATTAAACTATATGGGCTGGAGTTTTGCTTTTGTTTTCTTAACTTTTTTTCTCCTCCACACAGTGTTCTTGAATCCGACCCCCAGTTTGGGTTTGAAGAAGCAAAGAGGAAGTTACAAGGTACGGACGCCTCAGGGCTCCTGTGTCTAAGACACTCAGTGTCTGGAATGTTCTCTGGAGCAGTGAATACAGTGGCATAGTCAAGGTCCAGGCACTCTCCTGGTCGTGGCTTTGTCATCTAAGCTCAGGGAGTCAGTAAGAAGCTGCCCCCAGAGAGAGGAAAGTTGAACATGCATCTCAGAAGCCATATGCAGACCCAACCACAAGCAGTGTACTAATTTTGTGTCCTGTGTCTCATGCAGAGCGCCCCTGGCTCGTGGACACCTACAGCAAGTGGCTTCAGAGATTAAAGGTGCGTGGAGGTACCCCACTTCTGCCCTGGGGGGATGGGACCTGAGCCCAGAGCCTAGGAGGTAGGGGCCCAGATGGTTGTCACAGAGGGAAGTGGGTGGGAAGCAGCTCCTCGTTACTGTCACAGACCCCTGAGCCGAGAATCAAATCTGCAGAGTCAAGGTGTTTGAGCTCCCATGGTGACCATTCCTTGGGCCATTGCCCCCAGCTCCAGCAGGCTGGCCCATTCAGCACCCACTGTGCCTCTGGGATCCCAAAGCCCTGGCCCAAGCCCCTACAGGGGGAGTGCAGAGGGTGGTGGTGTCTCAATCACTTGAATGCACCTGTTCCCAACTGAACGTCCTGGTTTTGTCTTGCAGGGGCCCCCTCATAAATGTGCCTTAATTTTCGCAGATAACAGTGGAATAGACATCATTTTGGGAGTCTTCCCCTTTGTCAGGGAGCTACTCCTTAGAGGGACAGAGGTGAGTGAGGAGGTGGGTGGGACCCTTCCCTGGGCTCCTCTGCCGTGGTGGGGTTGGCACTGCCGTGGGCCTCTGGCAGCAGTGGGCAGAGCTCCTTGTCCACAGCAGGCAGGTGCAGGAGAGATGGGATGGCTGGGGAGTGGATGGCTTCCAGCCTCCCCCGGTGCAGGATATGGTGCAGGCTTGAGCCCAGGTATTGGTGGGGAGAGGCTTCTGGGGTGTGACTTCGTACTGACTTCTGAGCAGGCCCTGCTCTAGTGTCAGCGGAGCAGTGAGGTAAGCTGGCGTCTCTGCACCTCAGCAGCTGGCCAGGCCAGGTGGGCAGCACCACCCCTGCTAGGACTTGCCGTCAAGACCCTAGGGTAGGCACAGGCTGGCTCTGTGCTAGGTGGCAGCAGCAAAGGACTTTATAGAGCCTGGGCCCTCCCACTGCAGGTCATCCTGGCATGCAACTCGGGCCCAGCCCTGAATGACGTGACCTACAGTGAGGCCCTCATCGTGGCTGAGCGCATCGCAGCCATGGACCCTGTTGTCCAGTAAGCATCAGGTGGCGGTGCTGGGAGGCACCTCTCACAGGGAGGGAGCGCCCCGTGGGCTTAGCAGGTCCTGGGAGTTGTCAGGCAAGGGGGAGGCTTCCCAAGGTGCCACCCTCCAGGGGCGCTGACCACCTCGTGCCCTGGCAGCTCTGCACTCAGAGGGGAGAGGCTGCTGTTGGTACAGACGGGCTCCAGCTCCCCATGCCTCGACCTCAGGTAATGCATCCCCAGGCCCACACTGCCCCCCACCATCCTAACCACAGACCAGGGTTGGCCTGGGGAGAGTCACGATGCCATCCCTATGTGAGACTATTGGGGGGGGATTCAGGGTCCCCGTGTGGATTGCAGAGGACAACCAATTGGTCACACATATGTTCCTGCCCACCCACCTCTGAAGTGAGAAAGGGTCGTGAGTGAAACCCAGTCTCTGGGGCCTTCACTGTTGGTCTGTGTGCCCCTCATCCAGTTACTAACCAAGAGGAAGGGCCTAAAATCTGTGGAAAGTAAGATCCCCTGAGGCAGTGGTTCTTGAGAACCGCTCCCCTGAGGGCTGGGGGGTGGAAAACTGAAAGGCCTCATCAAGGTGTTTTCAGCTAGAGCTGCTTTTGCTGCCCAAGGGAGGCCTGGGGGAGGCAGCTGCCAGGCAGAGGCTGATTTGGAAGCCCCCACATTCATGACTGAGCCTGGGGGCTTCCCAGCCCCTGCTGGCCACTGCCCTCCAGGGAAGCAGAGTTTGGAGCCCCTTAGCCCAGCCCCTGCCTCATTGCCACCTTCTCTCCAAAGCCGCTTGGACAAGGGGCTGGCTGTGCTGGTACGGGAGCGAGGTGCAGACCTAGTGGTCATCGAGGGCATGGGCCGTGCCGTCCACACCAACTACCACGCAGCCCTGCGCTGTGAGAGTCTCAAGCTGGCGGTCATCAAGAATGCCTGGCTGGCTGAGCGGCTAGGTGGCCGGCTTTTCAGTGTCATCTTCAAGTATGAGGTTCCAGCTGAGTGAGGCGCCTGCTTCTGCCAGACTGTTTTGCTTGTCACTGTCAGGAGTGTGTTTTTACCACACGGGGAAACTGCATTCAAATTAAAATATTTATATTGTGCTCTGTGACATGGGGCATGCACCCCAACCGGCACAGTCGCGCCGCGTCTGTGATGGAAGATGCAGCTTTTGTCCTGTGAGACGTTGTATTGGAATATATTTAATTGTTAAATAATCTTTTATATATGTATAAATATATAAATATATACACGTGTGTCTGCTGGAATGAGTGCTGAAGGCTGCACCAAATAAGAGTTTTTAAGTGAGGCCAGAGCGCCTGTGCCTTTGTGCTTGGTTTTGGAGGTGGGCTGGGCCTTGGCTGTCTACAGCATGTTTGGGTGGTGGGGAGGGGTGAACAAGAGGGGAGCCATTTCCTCCAGTTACTTCCAGAACTCTTCTGGCACATGCACACCCACTCCCCTGTGACCCTGGCCCATGGGTCCAGGTGTCTCCCGCCGCCTGCTTCCAGGCAGAGGGTGCAGACTGCTGTGTCTGTCTAGCGCATCAATCATTTCGCTGTGCTGGCTCTGAGCATTCCTGACTCCAGCCCACAGGGAGGCCAAGGGCGTTGGGTACCCTCAGAACAGTGCAGAGTCCTGAGCCCAGTGTCCCCAGGATCCTGCCTGTGGCTGAGGTGAGCATAAGGTGGGCACAGGGTGGGGGTAGCCAGCAGCAGGGGCCACTGGGAGTACTCCAAGATTTCTGGAGGTCTCCAGCCCTGGGTCTCCTCCCTCAGGTGGCATGTCCCTGGGAGCCAGCAAGAGCACCCCTTGGAGTGACTGGCTGGAAAGCAGGCCCCATTCTGAGCTTAGAGAATTCAGGGGGCTCGGATGTCCCACAGTAGGAACTATTGGTGGCATGTTAGCTGCCAGACGGGTCCTGAGGAGGCCACCCTGCTGCCTCATTCCTGCCAGGCCTCTCCAGATTGAGAACCTCACTGAGGACCCACAAGTAGGTGCTATCCTATGTCACCTTCCAGACAGCTTTGCTCAGAGGTCTGGGTCCTGAGTCGCGGAGCTGGGCACACCCAAGGCTGAGACAGGCAGTAGGGTTCTCACCTGCCTGTCCCCTCCTCCCAGCTTTAGGGCAGCCCTCAGTGATGTGTCTGTGTGATCTGCCCTAGGAGTGCCTGGATGGGACAGGGCCCTCCTACAGCAGCCGCCAGGTGGCAGCAGGTGTCATGACACTGGGCAGCTGAAGGGACCTGGCAGTCCTGAGGTTGATCTTTGTTTCAGCTGCATCCTCCTCCCTCCCTGAGAGGTACCAGGACAGAGGCCCCCCCATCGGCCCAAATCACTGTCCAGCCCCAGAGATAGCTCTGGGAGTGGACAGGCAGCATTGGCCATGGGGCTCCCAGGTGTGGGACTGCCTGTTCTGACCCCCGCAGGGCTCAGCCCCAAGGGCCTCAGAGCCTGACTGCCTCTGAGAGAAAGTTCCTGCTGGCCAGAGCTGGGGCCTTTGGGCGGGGGTGGGGGTGGGCATAGACCTGGAGGGAGGCACGCGGGACAGGACTCCAGTGTGCTGAATACTGCTCTTGACCCCTGTACATTCCCCCTGGGGCCTGCCTAAGAGCCAGGTACCCTCTGTGCCCCTCAATCCCCCCAGCCCTTTGCTAGCCAAGCAGAAAGGCTCTGGTACCTTGCTTGGGAGAACATTAGCCCCATAGCCTCACATCCTCCCTGGCTCATACCCACAGCCAGCCCTGCCCTGCACAAGGTCATTGCCCCTGGGGGTTCAAAAGGAGGCCTTGGTCAGCAGGCTGGTGTGCAGTGTCACTGGGGGACCCCAGGCTCTCTTGTCAAGGGCTCACTTGGACTGAGTTTCTGCCCTGAGTCCTGGAACAGCAGCCCCCTCCCACTGCAACCCTACTCTCTGTCATCCTCAGGGCCCTACACAGAGGTATGGCAGGGCTGGGGCGGAGTGGGGGGCATGAGTGGTACCAGCACGGGGGCACAGCACAGCGAGGGCAGGGCAGACTACCCCCCTGCACCCTTCCTGACCTGGGGTATACTTGGGGAGCAATGACAGGCAGGCAGGCAAGCTGAGAACCCCATGGTGAGCTATGCACAGGCAGTCATAGAGACTTTAAAATGTCCCATACAGGGGACTGTTGAGGATAGGCAAACACCTGGGGTCAGAGTGGGCACAGGAGGAATGTTCTAAGCAGCTCCAGGTATCGCACCAGCATTCCCAGGACACAGACACATGTACACCACATAGTCCAGGGCCAAGAGCCAGGCTGAAGTGAAAAGGGCTCGGTACTATTTTAATGTGTGTTTTGCCTCTAAAAATTTAAATCTCTCTCCACATAATACATCTTAAAACACTGAGGAAACTGCCTGGTGAAGCCGATATCCAGTGGGCCCTGCAGGGTGACAGGGCACAGCTTCAGCCACCCTCACCTGCCCTTGGCCCGCTGACAAGCTGGCTGGGTCAGAGTCTCAGGAGGCGCAGGCCCTCAGCTGCCCCGGACACCTGCTCGGGGGCTCCCTTGGTAGGGGTTAGCACATCCGCATAGCGCTCGTGGACCACAGAACAGGCGCCCTCAGGGGTGCCCCGCTCCTCCTCAGGGGGACCCCGTGGGCCCAGGCCCTGTAGCTTCTGCTGCCGCTCCTGGGCCTGGCGGGCCCGGCTGGCAATGGCACGCACGCGACTCTGGCTGCGGGAGGAAGAGCGGCGCAGGAAGCTGGGGCCCCCTGCAGCCCCCTCTCCAGCCAGCCCTAGGCTGGTGGGCGATGTGATGTCCCCTGCCCTCTGGAAGCCCGTGAGGCGGCGCAGCTGCTCTGTCAGGGCATCCTGCTGAGGCCCCGCACCTGCTGCCTGCTGCGCCCCACCCAGGGGCCCCAAACTGCGTCTCAGGCTGTGGGAGCTGCCTTTGAAACTGGAGACAAAGTCATCGGCGGTCAGGTCTCCCAGGCTCTTGGACTTGGTGGCCACGGGGCAGTCCTGCAGACCCCCCAGGGAGAGGCGGCCCCAGCATGGTTGGGGATGGAGGCCTGTCAGCCTTGGGGCCAGAGGTCGGGGCCGCAGCTGGTCAGGCACAGGGGCCGGCTGGACTGCAGCCCACAGGTTGGGGTTGGATTTGCTCTTGGTCACAGGCAGCAGGTCTGGGCGGAGCCTTGGAGGCAGGCGTCCCACAGGGACCCCCACAAGGCTTTCTCCACTGCGGCCCAGGCCCAGGCTCGGCAGGGAGAGGTCGATGACAGTGTCATTGGATGACATACTGGAAGATGAGGACACGCTGTCAAGGTGGCTTCCCGGGTCTAGCCGCTGCCACAGCCGATCACTGCCTGTGGCATCTGAGTACACAGCAGGGGCCGGAGACGGCCTCAGTGGATGAGGCGGCCATCCACTCAGGGGCTCCATGGGCACCTGCCCCTCACTCTTGGCCCTTCTAATTGTGGGCAGATGGCCCGGGGCCTGGGGTTGGCTCCTGCTGTCCTTTTGGCTGCCAGGGGCCCCCTTGCATGCCCCACTGGGGCCTCCACTATCACACGGCTGCCACCTGCCCTCTGGGGGCTCCTCGGTGACCCCAGGGCTCCCAGTCCTGAGCTGGAGGGGCACAGAAGCCCCCAGTGCCATCCCCATGGAGCTGGCCACGTTGGCTGTGGGGCCTGCGGGGTCCTGGGACCCTTCCTGAGAGGGGCTGGTAGGGCCGGGGCCCAGGACTGGCTCCTCAGCAATGGTCTCCAGGCTGCACAGGGGGGAGACGGACCTCTGCAGGGAGAAGGGGTGGACACCTAGGGAAGAGGGACAAGGAAAGAAATGGAGAGTGAGTGAGCAAGTGAGACAGAGACTGAAGGAGGGGGACCCCTCTCAGGGTGGTGTCTCTGTGGCCCCCACACCTCCCTGCACCAGGGAACAATGAGGCCAGCCCTTGCCCTCCATCACGCACATCCAACAGGGCACGCTTGGCGCCCTCCCCTGCCATGTGGGGGCTGGGACAGTGGACAGGTGGGGGCCTCCCGGGGCTGGGGCTGCCCCGTTACCTGTCACTTGCGTGCTCAGTTCCTAACTAGAAGGCAGCATGAGTGCAGGGACAGAAGGAGAACTCGGTCAGCATGGGGGCGGGGATGGCAGCACAGCCCTTACACCCTCCCTCCCGAGCTAGAGCTACAGAGGGACCCACGGGGCCGAAGCAGAGCTTCTCAGTGGGGGTCAGCCAGACACAGAGCCCCAGGAGCACAGGGAGCCTCCGCTCAACACTTTGCAAACTGCAAGGACCCAACTTCTAGGCTGAGCACCAGCCAGGAGTCTTGGGGGCTGGGGGTGCCCTGTGGCTGCACCACTGACCATGTCACCTGCCCAGGAGGGACAGCCCAGGGCCTGGCTCTGGAGGGAGGCAGGGGTAGAGATGGGAAGTGGCCCACAGTTCTAGGAAGGGCTCTGGGGCACCCAGGCAGCTGACCGACCAGGGAGGTGGGCTTGGCCCAGCTGGGTGGCCCCATCTCAGGGTCCTGGCTGAAGCCTAGCAGGAGCTCTGGGGTTCTGAGCAGGCATGGCTTCCTCTTGGGATGGCTCACCGGCTCAGCTCATCTCCTCCCTCCCAAAGTCCCCGGGCCCCAGGTCAGGCTGGAGGGCTGGGGCTGCAGCCGCAGGACAAGCCAGTGGAGCACAGCAACATAGGTGCCACAGCACACAGGCGGGTCTGTGACGCAGAAGCAGCAGCAGGTGGCACAAGGCCTAGGCCATGCTGGAGGCGTGCAGGAAGACAGCACGGGGCACGGGCAGGCAGCTAGTCTTACCGGTGGAGAACATGGGGGATTTACTCCTCATCTCCTCCAGCTTTTGAACGAACAAGGCGTTCAGCTCTCCCTGCAGGGCCCCAGGCTGCCTGCCAATGGCCTCCTGCCAGCGACAGACCCCCTGGGGGCCACCCGGGCTCTCTGGGCTGCTACAGTCTGAGGACGCGGAGCCACCACCTGGACCTGGCCGCTGGGCCCTGCGGCCCTCAGGGGCCTCTGTGCTCCTTCCCGGGGCAGCTCGGGGGTCCAGGCCACAGCAGGGTGCCCCTGGGGAGTCAACCCGGGCCTGGGGCTGCTGGCTAACAGCAGTGGGCTGGCCTGCAAGCCCAGGGCTGGGTGGCCGCTCCCTCCACAGGCCCTCGGCATCCACGCCGGCGCAGGAACCCACCATGCACTTCATGCATGTGGCAGCCATCCCTGCGGGCCCAGGGCCCTCGGGCATCCGTGAAGGCCGTGCCTGGGCCAGGCTCCTCTCTGCTACCACTGCAGGTGCCTTACCTCGGGGGCTACTGCAGCTGGGTCCCTCCCAAGCCGGGGCCTCCTGAGCAGGGCCGGGGCTGGGGGGTGCTATGTTGTGGGCTGCCCTCTCAGAGCCCGAGTCCTGCTTGCCCAGGACCAGCTCTGGGAAGCCTTTGCGGCCAGACTTCTGGCTCTTCGTCGGGGCACTGGCTGTGCGCCGCAAGAGCCGCTGGCTAACGGAGGGCCGGGGCAGGGGCTGTCCAGCAGCATGACTGTCCAGAGAGCCGGGCTTTGGGCCACGGAGGAAGAGGCCTTTTAGGCCCAGAGCCTGCTTGACCTGCAAGAGAAAGAGTCCACATAGCTGTGGCTGGGACCACACTGCTCCCCAGCAGACATCAGCAACCACGTGGGTGCAGTGGGCTGGGGCCACCTCCAGGGCTGGCCAAGGCTATATATAAAGACATTGGCCATAGGAACCAAGGGCTCCACAGCACCTCTGCCAGGGACCGCAGGCCCACATCTTTCCAACTAAGCATTTTCCTTCTTATTGAGGGGCACGGGAGAACATTCTTCCCCAGGCTTCTCCACCTTGGCCATCACCCTGCACCTGATATGGCCTCCAGCCTCAGTTCCCATGGAGCTGCTGATACAGAAGCCCACAGGGGACAGGGCGTGGCATGAGGGAGAAAGGCTGACGTCACCCCCTGGTGCATCTGCCCTGCCTTCAGGTGCTGCAGGCCGGGGAAGCAGGTACATCTCCTGCAGCCTGAAAGCTACTCTCCCTCAGCTGCTGCCCAGCCACCCCCAGTAACACGCCTGTCTCCTGGAGGTGCCACCTCATGCAGGAGGCCTTCCCAGCCTCGTCCTGCTCTCTGTTCATGGGGGGAGGGGGTCTGAGGCTCACAGCTGGCTTGGTGCTCCCAGCACCACTGCCCAGATGGGCTGGGCTCCTGGCCACCAGCCTCAAGCCATAGCCGGTCTTCTGGACAGTCCCTGCACAGGCCTGTTCTGCAGCTTCCCTGCCTGAGAGCAGCCAGGACCAGCGAGCAAGTCAGGGTTACCACCAGAGAGGCCCGGCAGCTGCATCTCAAGTGTGCAGAGGTCAGAAGGAGCCTCACATGCCAGACAGCCGCGTGCCCCAAGACCCCAACCCACTGCTCCCCCATGACGAGCCGTGCTTATGCACAGAGCGGTCACCCCTGGCAGGGGCACTTCCGGGCAGAGGCATCAAACTGGCTAACACTTGAATCAGCTTTCTGATTCAAGATCCCAAATCCAGTGCAATTTGGTCAAAGTAGGCTGGGAAGCCATTTAGAAGGAGATCCAGGATTCAGGCTGGGAGCTCCACCAGGGACAACCCACCCAAGCCTTGGGTGTGGCTGGCATGGGGAAAGGGGTCACATGAGGGGGGCTAAGAAATGGCACATGGGGGCACAGCGGGGCTCAGCAGGGGCTCAAGAGCTCGCAGCAGGAGGAAGAGGCCCTGGTGGGGTGTGGAGGCTCAGGCAGCGCTGGCAGCAGCCTGTTGAATCCTGGATCTGCCTCATAAATGCCACTGCCCACTGATGATGGCCCAGGGGTCCCCGGAACCATGTCATGATCCATGTGACATGAGCAGACAGTCTCCAGAATACTACCAGGAATCACAGGTGCTAATGGGGTGCGGCCTGGCATGCAGGTGGAACGCCGGGCTACACTGCCCCCGGCGCCGGGGTACCTGTAAGGCTCCTAACAAGGCTGTGCTTCTAAAGGCAGACTGGGACACAGAGAAGCCCACTGCAAGACCAAAGAGACAGGGACGGTGAGGTGGCAAGACCACGGGGCACGGAGACAGGCGGGCAGACGGACAGACAGAAGGACACTGGGGAGACGGATGCCTGCAGCGCCTGGTCCGGCCTGCACCTCTGAGCCCGCATGTGTGGCAGGAGAGAGATGGTCAGTCTTAGGCCCCAGGTGGGCCTTGAGCTATGCGTTTACAGTCCCTGAGGGCACCGGGCCCCAGCTCAGACCCGGGGCACTGGCTCTTTAGACTGGGAGGCCTGAGCCATCCTGGACAGCCCACCATCCTGCCCTGGCCTGGGGCAAGGGCAAAGGCAGGCAGCCACCTTTCAGGGGACTCTGGACAGTAGGAGGAGGGGTTAGGTTAGCAGTTGAGAGAGGTCTGTCTGTGCTCTCAAACCTGGGCACCAGCCTCAGCAAGGACAAGACCTGGGCAAGGGCTGAGCCAGGTTCAGACGGGTGCTGGTGCCCACCAAAAGCAGGTTGGGGTTAATAGGGTGTGGGGCTCCACCCAGCCCTCGGCTGCCCACAGCTGGCCCTGGGACACAAGGTTAGCCCTGCAGGCTGGGGATCAGGTGTCCCCTCCACTTCCACTGGAAGAAAGGGCTGTGAGGCCTCTCCCCCTAGACTCAGGGCCAACTGGGGACACTGCTGGGGTGAAGTGGGGCAAGGGGCTGCTGCCCCTCCCAGGACGCAGATGGCCCCCAGGTGATGCTCACCTTACCACTGATGTCACTGACAGCCACGTGCACGAAAATGGAGGCCTCTTCCATCCCCTCTAGGTACACGTGCCGATAGCCTGGGAGAGCAGGGATGATGCCATGGGGTCACAGGGCTCCCCCGCCCTACCCCACCCCCACTAGCCTATTCTGTTCTTAAAGGTCTCAAAGCCCCAAGTGCCACCAGTGAGCCCAGGCCTGGGACTCTGCTCCTGGGGACTCAGCACAGCCCCTCTCCCTCCTCCAGGAAGCCTGCCAGCATTGTTGTGGCCCTGTAGGACTCCCTCCTGGGCATGAGCCCTTGCCCATGGGCCATACCCCACCAAGGCCACAGAGCCCCATAACCTCTTGTTTGGTCCTGGTCAGCTCCCTCTGTCCTTTGGCCCTCAGCTGATGGGGGGATGAGGGGCCCTGCCCACCTGGCATCAGGCTGCTAAAGGCCAGCGTCCTTTGGCCAATGAAGTCCCTCCCGATGGGGTCGTGGTCCCAGACGAGGAAGCGTACCAGCGCAATCTCAGGCATGTGCACTGTGAACACCAGGGTTTCCTCCCACATGGGGTTGAATCCTGGAGGCACATTGCAGAGGCTCATCAGGGGAGGTGCATTGCCTGGGCAGGGTCCGCCCCGTTGGAGCTCCCGCACACAGCAGGTACCCCCTGCAAAGTGCCTCCACCACGGCAGACAGCAGACATGGCGCTAGGACGCCAGGCAGCGCAAGCCTCACCATTGTCGTCCACCACGCGGGTTTGCTCTTTGCTACAGTCCACTGGGAGCCCGATGATCTCCACCTCCACGAAGGGGTCAATGATCTGAGGGTTGGTGGGGGAGGTGTGGCTTCTGGACCCGGGCACAGTGTTCCGGCCCCCACCCGTGCCTGGCCCCACCCCTACCTCTCCCCGATCCCCCAGCATTGAGTCCCGCGGCTTGGGGAGCTGCTGCCCACTGATGATGCGCAGAGCCAGCTGCTTCTTAGGCTGCCCAGGCAGGGGGTCCTCAGAATTGGGGTTGAAGATGCCTGAATGGATGCCGGGCATGAGACTAGGCCCAGGCCTTGGCCAGCGCTGACCTGCTCTGGGCACCAGCAGCAAACAGCCCCCACCCCCACCCCAGTACGTGGGGCCTATGCCAGGGCAGGGCAAGGGCATAACTGGGGTCTTAGCAGGTGGGCACACCCCAGTGGCATAAGGGGGGGCCCAGTGCAGGTGAGTTGGGGTACAGGGATAAAAGTGGGGTTGGAGGAAGCCTAAAGACGCCTCAGCCAGGGCAGCACCGTGAGCCCCATGTGGGCCCAACACAGAGGCTGGGTCACTGGCCCTAGAACCCCTCAGACATGTCTTGCTGGTGGATTTCACAAAGGCCGGGAATAGGGCAGGGGCTCCCCAATTCCCCATCCCCAGATTTGTGGCAGAGGTGGGTCCTGCTTTGCACTCCCCACCCTCCAGCACCCAGAGCAGAGCCCCAGCGTGGGCCCCCAGGAGACTCTGCCCAAGCTTCCCACCCTCAATAGCGTGTGCACCCCCAACCCATGTTGTGGGGACTCCAAGGTGGCCCCTCCACATGCCTCACCCTGGCACATGCACGGGGGTTTCAGCACATAGCCACAGTTGCCATTGGCGCTAAACTTGGCCCTGTTCAGCTGCAGCATCCGTCCCTCAGACTGGTAGTTCAGGGCGACTAGGGGAGGGGCCAAGGACGTCCTGTCAGCACCTGGCCTTCAGGCACATCCCCTGAATGCCCGCCTGCCCACAAGTCCGATGTCCACCCCATTCCCCACTGTGAGCAGGGCTCAGAACAAGTTCAGCACCCCTGCGTTACATCCCCAGAGTTCACTGCCAACCCTCAGCCCCTTTCCCTCATTGCCCTGGGTCTTAAAGAACCCACCCCGGGGCCAGCCCAGTGTTGTGGACAGCACAGTGCTCAGACTCTCCAAGCCACAGGCAAGGGCACCTGAAGCAAGGCCTGCATGGGTCCCCCCATGCACCCTTCAGGGGCACCCACCCATCTGACAGCCTGCGTTCCAGAAGGGCTGTGGGTTGTAGTTGCTGGAATCCACCCGGTAGGAGGAGGGGTAGACACGGGAGAGCTGGTGCTGGTTAAAACGTAGGTACTGGGCCGGCTTCTGCTGCAGGATCTGGTGGGCCTTGGTCTCACTGAAGGAGGACACCTGCCAGCTGGACGCCACTGTGGCGCCAGCAGCCAGCGTCACACACCGGGTCCAGGGGTCCCCCAGGTGCACGGACACGCACACCAGAGTTGGGATGGGGAGGCCCCAACCCACCTGCCTGTGCCCAGCCTGCTTGCCCTCACCTTCCATGTCCACGTCATGGGTGCCCACAGACTTGGTGTATTTGACCAGGTCCGAGAGAGCCCGGGACAGCTGCATGGTCTTCTTCTGCCGAGTTGTCCTGTGGGATTCACTGGGCATCAGTACCCTGAAGCTGCACCCAGCCCTGAGAGAGAGGGTCTCCAGGGCACAGGCAGTCCCTCAACACCATCTAGGGCAGCAAGATCCATCACACATCCATTGCACCACACACTTGTGTGCCCGGAGCACATGGTGGATGCCCGGTGGTGCTGGGGGGGACAGGCACTGGGCCCCCAGAGACAACCCTCAGGCTGTGCTGGAGGCTTCAGAAATGTGAGCACCAGGCAGGAGGCAGGCGACAAAGGCCACAGGCCCTCTCGTGGGCTATGGAAGGGCGAGGCAGTAGCTTGGGCCAATGTGGGGCCAGGGGAGCTCTGAGAGATTTGGGGTCTTCTACAAGGTTCTGAGCATGGGAGAGACTAGGGGCAGAGTCTTATCTGTGGAAAGAAGCTCAGGGCACAGAGGGGTACACTGTAGGCACAGTGTGTGGCTGGCAGGTGCAAGGAGGGGTGGGGAGAGGAGTCAGCCCCCATAGGACCACCCTAGAGAAAGGCATGGGACAGTGCAGCCCCCAGGACTGTCCTGGCCTTCCCTCTCCCCAGGGTGGGGAACTGACCCTCGGCTCTGGCGCTCTGGGGAGTCTGTGTCCGAGGCTCCCTCCTCCAGGCTGGCTGTGGGCCTCAGCTTGCCTCCCTTTTTCTGCACAGGAAGGCAGAGTTGTGAGCCCTGGGCCCCACCCAGGCCAGGCCATCAGCAAAGGCTGGAAGGGTATGGGGAGGGGCCCTGTCCTCCTGGGTTCCCAGGGGCCCACATGGCCTCTCAGTCCATCCTCCACATTACCCAGGGCCCAGTGAACTCTCAAGGGAACCATGGGGAATTTGAGCTTGCGGCATTGGCCAGAGTGGACTAGTGAAGGGCAGTGATCCTAGGGCCATTGAGGCATCCAGTGCTGACCAGCCCCAGCCTCAAGGCTGGATCCCAGGAGTCAGACCAGGGCTGGGGGAATCTGGGGAGGGAACAGGGGCTCAGACAGGCCCTAGCCCAGGAGCCCACTGGACCTTGCGCTTGGAGAAGCTGCTCACGAGGAGGCTGCTGTTTCGTCTATTGGCCCCGGTGTCTTCTCCAGACTCCGTATCACCCTCTGCCTTGCTCTGACCCAAGGGAGAGACAGAGAGATGGGGTGAGCCCAGCCCAAGAGGGCAGGGGGTGGGATAGCCCCCACAGCAGCCCTGACGGCCTTCCTGGAATTGGTGGGATGGAGCCTGGCCTGGGAGGATGGCAAGGAAGGCAGGGAACCAGGTCTCAAGCCAGTAGGCTGCTGCTCCCTCTGCCCCAGGGCCCAGAGGTGCCCACCGGAAGGAGAGGACTAGAAATCTGTGCCCAACAAAGCGTCCACTCACAAGCCCACCATCAGCCAGCCTCTCATGACAAACCACTTTAAACTCATTAAGTTCCCAGTTCTGAATTTTGTTTCCCACAGATGGTGACTATGTAGTAGACAGAACATTCCTCAGCCTATTTCTGCAGTCCTTGTAGGAGCTCCCACCCCCTTCTTCCAGTACACAGGTGTTACCCTAATCAGACAAATGGCCCAGGTGCACTTTCCTCAAAGGCAGGCCAGGAGCCAGTGACACCCAAGAAGCCACAGGGCCAAACTTCCTTCAGGCTGTACACAAAACAGGAGTAGGGGGGGCCTAGTAGCACCTCTCATCGCCCCCCGACCCCCCAGGCAGAGTTGCAAACTGCTCAGTTGCCCCACAGCTCATCGGTAGCCAAGCCTGTGCCACCACAAGGCCATTGCAGCCACCACCACCCACTTCCACCAGCTCATTCCACAGACTCCCCAAACTTAGCCCAGCTGTGCACAGCAAGGGCCCCCACCTCACACTGCACCGTCCACCCAGGTAAGGGCTGGTATCTGTCGAATGCCACAGAGCTGAGCACCTGCAGTGGCACCCCTGTTACAGACAGGCTTCAGCCAGACATGACACAATGCACACACCTTGCACACTCTGTGAACACGCTCTGCACCCACCCTGGCCACACCCTGGGCATGCCCTGCACGTCAGAGGACAGACACTACACACACCCAGCACACACATGGACATGTCCACACATGCCTGTGGACACACCCGGCACACGGACATGGACACGCCCAGGACACATCCACAGGCACGCCCTGCACATGCCCTGGACACGACCGTGAATCTTCAAAAGCTGCTGCACAGAGTCCACTCTGGGCACCTGACAACAGACACAGCTCTCAGCTGACCTCACCACAAACCATCGCACCTGCCCCCTCAGTCTCTCCTGCCTGGACCACTCACTGCCTGCCCAGACCCACCTAACAGACATATGTGAAACTGGAGCAGGGCTGTCGCAGGCACTAAGCCAGACACAGCCCTGACATCTCCACCAGCACCCTGTGCTCTGCCCAGTCCAGGGACCTCCAGGGAGCTTAGCCTCCATTGTGCCCAGCCGTCTCCTGCCCTCATTGGGAGTCATGATGCAGGTTGGACTGGCCCATCTTGCCCAGAGTGTCCCAGGGGCCTTCAGTCACCAGGCTTTGGTGGCCAGAGCATAAGGCAGAGTCCTAGCAGAAGAGGCAGGGGTGGGCAGCACCTGTGGTTCAGTGGGTAAGGCATCGGCCCCATATACCAAGGGTGGCGGTTTCAAACCCGGCCCCAGCCAAACTGCAACAAAAAAATAGCCGGGCGTTGTCGTGGGCACCTGTAGTCCCAGCTACTCGGAAGGCTGAGGCAAGAGAATCACCTAAGCCCGGGAGTTGGAGGTTGCTGTGAGCTATGTGACGCCACAGCACTCTACCGAAGGCAATAAAGTGAGACTCTGTCGCTACAAAACAAAAGAGAGAGAGAGGCAGGGGTGACCTGGGTCCCAGATTGCTTCTGGAGACACTTGTCCCTCCAACCTCCAACAGTGACAACCCGATTTCCTCTCCCCCACAGAGCACTAGGCAGAGGCAGGCACTGGAAGCCACATTCACAGTGTGCTCAGGGCCAGTTGAGGCTGACATGCTCCACAGCTCTCTAAAGGCCCCCCAAATGCCACAGTCTCTGACAGTCATGGGCAACTATAAACCCAGGCATAACTGAGGAGGAGCTGTGCTGGCTGGGGAGGCCTGGCAGCCCACACTGCATGGCTAGACCACAGAGGGACTGTGGGACACACCCATCATGGGGTGGGCCAAGGGCAAGGTGGCCTGGACAGCAGGGGAAGGTCCACTTCCTGGCCCAGCCACCAGCAGATCCCAACCAGTCCATGCTCTTGGGGAGGGTCAGAGTGTGCAGCCCCAATGTGGGTGAGGGCCCCTTCCTTATGCACCTGGCTGCTTCCTTCCCACACTTACTCCTGCCATCCCAGGCCTCAGGGACTCCAGAGTGGGGCTCATGTTCCTCCAGGCTCACATACAGAGGGCAGAGGCATGAGTGACTCCTGGTAGGTCATTCCACAACACCCCCAGCTGTCCCCTCTTTGGCTAGACCACACCTACCCAGTGAGCTCTGAAGCCAGCTGAATTCCCTGCCCCAGCCTGGGGATTGGCTTGGCCCTCCCGCCCATCCCCAAAGGCTCTCAGACCTGCCAGGGCTATGTCACCACTCAGCCTGGGAGTGCCTGGTGCTTTGGTCAGGGTGACACTCAGCCTGAGCCCTTCCTCCCTGCCTCCTCCTACAGGAAGCCTTCCCCAAGCAGGGCCCCCAGCAGCAGCTCAGCCTGAGGCCTGCGAGGGACCAGCCTGTTCTCCCACAGGAGTTGACATCAACTCCCACCGACAGGCAACTCCACCAAGCACAGCCCACAAGAGCGTCAGGTGGGGCTTGTTCTCCCCACCTCGACATCTTGGGACCTGTGAGAGACACCTGCCGAGTGTGTTCCTCAAGCTCTCTGCTGGTGTTAGCTGTGCCAAGCTCTCCATGGCCCATGGGCAGAAATGCAAATGTTGGCATCTAAAAATACTGGCTGGCCCCAGAGCAAGACACAGCTCCCCACTCCCTACTGCCGGGAGAAGACACCTTCCCAGCCACCTTGGGGACAGGGTTCAAGACATGGCAGGTCCAGGCAGAGAAGGGCATGGAGCAAGCGGGTGCCAGGAATGCAATGCCCTGCCAGTACAGCTCCCCCTGTGGACAATGTCTGCAAGGCCTATCCCATGCCCCACCTGGCCCTAGGCCACCTGCACTGGCCATCACAGTACCAAGCAATTTGCCAGTTTCTGGCCACTCAGCAGAAGTGCCTGACCAATAAGGAGGAACCCAAGCTCAGGGCCAGCCAGCCCTAGCCGGCACCCCTCACACACACGCAAAGACCTCCCCACGTGGCTGTGAGCAGTTCTGGGTAGAGAGGGGCAGTCATAGGCCTGCCAGAGAACCCCAAGGACTGGCTCAATTCCTGTGTCCTGCAGAGCCTGGACTGTGACTCAGGAGGCCCTTACCAAGGTGGCAATACTCAGAGCCTCATCCATAGGGAGCTACAGGGCCCCCAGGGGCTGCCTGCCCTTAGGTCTCAGAGAGGACACACCAGAGCCAAGTCAGAGCCGGGAAAAGGCAACACCCCTGCCACATAAGTGGTGTGGCCCCTGCCCTGCTCCCTGACAAGGTAGACATTGTGAGGTCTACATGATGGGAGATGGAAACAGAGACATGCTGAGATCCTAGGGCACCCTCGGGCTGGAGCACTGCCCTGGAGGACAGGGGTCTCTGGGCCTCACTGTGGTGTACTTGCGTGTGGGCAGGTGTGTGTGCAGGTGAGTGTGCACATGTAAATGTTGTTCAGAGGTGTGTTTGCATGAAAACTCACATGTGAGGCCTGTGCACAGGTGTGTGCATGCGTGGAGGAGTGTGAACAGATGTGCAGGTGTGTGTGCAGGTGTGTGCATGCGTGAAAGAGTGTACACAGATATACAAATGTGCACACATGTAGAGGAGTGTACACAGATATATAGGTGTGCACACGTGTGGAGGAGCAGACATGCACGTATATTTGCAGGTGTGCACATGCATGAAGGAGTATGTACAAATGGGCATGTGTGCAGGTGTGTGTGCAGATGCATGCACACACGAAGGAGTGTACATAGACGTGCACATGAGCAGGTGCAAGTACAGGTGTGTGCATGTGTGAAGGAGTGTTCAGAGGTGCCCGTGTAGAGGAGTGTGCACAGGTATGCACAGGTGCAGGTGTGCGCGCAGGTGTGTGCACTTGTGGAGGAGTGTTCAGCAGTGTGTGCCCACATGGAGGAGTGTGCATAGGTGCATGGGCAGAGGTGTGTACACACGTTGGGACGTGTGCCCTGACCACAAGCCCTGGGGCCCTTCCCTAGCCCCCAGGCTGGTGGACCAGAAGAGGGCCTCACCTTCTTGCCCTCTGCTCGGCGCCCCGGCTTCCGAGAGGGGGTCATTGTGGAGACAGAGAAAGCATTGGGGTCTTCACAGTCCCGGATCTTTGACTCCTTGATTAGGGAGTCCAATTTCCTCTTAGCAATGTTTTCTACACGCTTCCGATTGGTGGAGGCCTGTAAGAACAGAGGCCGTCCCATTGGCATCCATCTGCAACCCTGTAAGCAGCAGCAGTGACCACCCACGGGTCCTCTGCACGACCCTGTCCTCTCCCAGGGGCATGAGATTCTCCTTGGGCTACAGGCAGCTTTGAACCCAGGTCCACATTACACTTCCAGCAACACAGTGCTGCCCACGGGGACCCAGCAAACAGCTTACATGGTGCCTGGCCCAATGGGTCTCAGGGACAGAGATCAGTGGGCAGCACAGGTCCTGAGATCCCGCCACTGGCCACCATGTGCCTCAAGGGATGACAGGGGGCAGGCTTCAGGGCAGCCTCCAGGCTGGGCAGCTGCCCTTCCCTGTGTGCCCCTGATGAACCTGGACCCCTGGCATGGGACCTAGGCCTTTGGCATCCAGACAACAGTGGAGTGCCCAGGGTGGAGTGAACACAAGCTGGACATCATCAAATGTGCATTCACCATCATGCGGGGCCTCGCAGAGACATGCAGGCTCCCTCATGGGAGGAATTCTGCTGCCTCAGGCTTTCTAAGCAGACAGCCTGTGGCCTAGAATGTTCCTGCCCAGTACTCCTGCATGGATGGCCCTCAGGAAGAAATAAGGTCCCTGCCACTTCTGAGCCACGCCCTGAGGAGGGAAGTTGCTGAATGCAGAATCCCTTGTCCCCCAAAGCCCTCATCGGCTACCCAGCTCCCAGCCCCCAAGGCCAAGCCAGCTACAGTGAGGACGTGGTGACATTGCCCTATGCAGGTGGCTGTAGGGTTGACCTTGGAGGTAGAGCTGGTGCTGGGCAGGAAGGGGCCAGGGTAGCCTGGGGGGTCAGTTGGAAAGGAGTCTAGAAGATGGGAAATTGCCAATGCACAGGTGGAGTAGGTGGGGTGGGAATGTGTGGAGCCCAAGCTGCCGTCCTCCAGGGCTCCTCCTGCTGAGGGGCCAAGAGGACTGGGCAGTGTGAACAAAAATGGGAATCACCAGCAGGGTCTGCACTTCTCAAGTGCAGGGGTGAGGCGGTCAGGAAGGGACCCACAAACAGGAAGGAACCCGAGGCCCAGCACATCCTCAGCAGCTGTGCAGCTTTGCACACCACCCTCAGCATACACTCAATGTCCCCTGTCTGGACACCAGCCTTCCCGACTCGCCCTAACAGCAGGGACAAGAGGCTGCCCTTGGGGGCTACAGGCCATGTCCCCACTTACATCTCCGTTGAGCAGCTTGCAATCATCGTCCATCTCATCAGCGCTGTCCTCGTCTGACACCTCACCCTCCTCTACATCCTCACTGATGTTGGCCGGGAGCTTCTTCCCCTGGGAGGAGGGGGACAATTGGGGGCTTGTGTGTGGACTCTCAGGCCAAGAGCAGTGGTCAGAGTGCTCTGCTCCCTGCAGTGGCTACAGCATGGAAGGGAGACACCTGCGTGTGCACGTGGAGGGCCTTGGCCCACCCCAACCACAAGTCTGCCTGCAGATGGCATGGTGCTGGTCCAGAAGGGCAGGGCTTACCTTCACCAAGATCTTGCCCCTCAGCATCTGTGGAGAGGGAAGCGAGGTGGCATCCTCACTGCTCACGGACGACAGGTCCAGCTTGTCCCCAAGGATGTCAGTTAGGTACTGGGCCATTTTCTTCTGCTGAATGACACTACAGTGGTTCTCAATGGACAGAATCACTGGGTACCTGTGGTCCGAAGATAGGAAGAGCAGGTTGAGGGTTGGCCCCACTGTGTAGCAACCCAGGTCACCTGCACCTCAGAGTCCAGGGGAGATGGGATGGCAGCAGGCTAGGAGGTGCACAATGGCTTTGGAAAGTGATGGAGTGGGTGGTAAAGGGCAGGACAACTTTAGGGGCAAGGAAGGGCCTGGGCTTCATTCCCCAATTTAAAAAAAAAGCAACTGGGGCGGTGCCTGTGGCTCAAAGAAGTAGGATGCTGGCCCCATATGCTGGAGGTGGTGGGTTCAAACCCAGCCCTGGCCAGAAACTGCAAAAAAAAAAGAGGCAATTAGAAGCTCCGGGAAAACAAGAAAACATTTGAAAAAGTCACATTTAAAGTGATGCAGACTAAATTGAAGTGCAACTTGGAGCAACAGACAGACTGAGAAATATAATGCTTGGCCCAGATACTGGACACACTGTCCTGTGAACAGCCCCAGGATCAAGGAGAGGCAAGCCGGCTCAGATGGGATGTGGTTATCACCTGTACAATATAGACCTGGGGGCAGCCATATCAGCTTTGCGGCTTTATTTCTTTACTTTTAACCATGTGCAATTTTACTTGAATTTTACCAAAAGGCAACCATGATTTTTTTAGAAAATATAGGTGACCCAGGTCAAGAGGGCAAGCAGGGTAGGTAAGCAAGTCCTTGCATGGGGAGGGCAAGTCAGCCATGGGAGGCTCTCATCTCCCCGTTTTGGAGGCAGAGTCAGGACAGGGAGAACAGGGGCCTGCGGAGTGTTCTCTGGAGCTGGAGCCCTGTCCTGACAGCCTGGAGACCACTCCTCAGCAGCCACAGACCTGTGTATCCCAACCCAGTGCCCTACAACACCCCCACCTGCCATCACAGCACCAGGCTGTCCAGCACGGGCCCCATGACTGCCCCCTCTCGCAACCCAAGATGGAGCTGGCCCTCCACTCTGTCCCTGAGTCCATCTCGCTTTTCCTGCCTCCTTCACACAATTAGCTCCTGCCTTGTCTGGAGCCTGGCTTATCCGGGACTGGCAGGTGACAGACAGGGCAGTGAGTGGCCTTCTACTTCCAGACACTAAATTAGATTCTCTTCAACCGTGTCTGTAGCCACAGCTGAGTGACAGCAAATTGAGTTTGGACACAGAGTGGCTCCTCAGGGGTAATTAGTGCAGGAACCATGGCTACTGTGGCCACTGACCTCAGGGGCTACCACCAGCCATAGGGACAGGCACTCCTGCACGTGCCATCTCCCCTCTGCCAGGACCTGTGGCCTGTTCCACTCCCCCCCCCACCTCTCTCTCTTCAATGAGACACAAAACCAGCCCCTGACTGCTATAGCCACAGTTCCCAGAAAAGGAAGGGCAGGAAGAGTCAGAGCCTGCAGCCTCCCCCAAGGTCAGCATCCCAGACCCAGCCACTCACTCATTCTTAATGAAGGCGTATTTGTTGATGGTTTCAATGACGTCTTTGAAGAGGATCTTGGAGGTCAAGGTGTAGCCATGGTGCACGATGGGTTCCCCATCAGGACCATCCCAGCAGTCCACTGTGGGCAAACAAAGCTCAGTCAGCCCCAGGGGCAAAGCCAGCCTCCTGCACAGTGACAGGACATGGCAAGGCCTTCTCAGCTCCTGCCCAGAGTCCCAGCCCTTATCCCCTGGGAGATGCCTGCCCACACCGAGGCCTGGCCCCTGGACCGGGGGTGCTCACCCTCCACGCAGCGGCAGCCAGCCTGCAGGACCCAGGCATACATGTCCACTCGAGACTGGGACATGAGCTGGTCGCCCACGAGGTAGGTATTGTGGGAGGAGGTGATAAAGTAGTGGCTCAGCGGCTGTGTCATGTCCTGGTGCACACGATAGTGCTCGGGGTTAAAGATGTCGCCCGCGGGGCTCCTGGTGTAGTTGGTGAAGCCTGCAGGGCGGGGCAGCAAAGGCTGCTCAGCACCGCCTTGGCCAGCATACCATGGCCTCTTCCCTTGAGCAGGACTCACCCGCCCCAGTGCCATGTGGAACGTGGAACCACCTGTCCTGGACCCAGGCTGGCCATCAGTACCCCCCAACCCCCTGAGACAAGTGGACTCAGGGCGACACCCCACTCACCATCAATGCCCAGCAGCCCCTTACTCTTGTTTTCTGGGCATGGCTCAAACTGCTCAATGATGTCCTGGCAGCTTTCAAGGGTCACATCCATCATCTAAGCCAGAGCAGGAGCGTGAACCAGGCTAGCTCATCATTGACCCAGGCTAGCCTCAGGCAGCTCCCCAGTCTTCCCTCCACCACATCCAGGCCCTGCCTCTGGTTACCACATCAGGGATGGCCACGGTGGGGTGATGCTTGAGGGCTGGGGTCACTGGTGGGCCCAGCATGGAGCAGAGACTGGAGAGTGGGGAGACGCAGGAGGGTGAGGACCTATATCCTGCCTGGGAGGAGCCAGGGGCACAGGGAGCCTCCATCTCCCGATCCCTGTTGTCTGCCCTAGTGGCCATCACAGGAAAGCCTAGTGCTACCCCCCAGCTCAGCCTGGCCCCAAGCATTAAAGGCTGAGGGATTTTCAGAGCCCTGTTGTGCAGTCAGGGCCAGAAGCACCCAGGCCCCCATGGCAGGCCACTGGCAGGGCTCTCAGAAATGTGTGGGCAGAGTTGGGGGGTGGTATTCAGAACCTAGGAGCCAGGACACGGGCCAAATCACCTGCCTGGAGGACACTGGTTTGGCTGCAGACTGTAGGGAGGGGTGCTGGAAAGCTTCAGGGTCTTGCCCTTCCCCCTTCAGGCCACATTCCCACACTCTGCCTCCACACACACCTTTGCCAGGATGGAGGCCCCATTGTCTGGGTCCACATCACTATAGCTGTGCCACCCACAGTGACAGGCTGGGGAGAAGTCAGCCAGGTGTACAGGATGCAGCTGGGCTGGTGCCACCTCCCCCCAGGCCAGGCCTCAGGGCATTCCCCTGCAGGGCTGGAGAGATAGCTGCCATGGGACTGAGCCTGGTAAGCTGTGACCTGACCTCCATGTGTGGGGAACCCGGCTGCCAGTTACAACAGCAGTGAGGCAGACCCTGGTAAAACCCACATAACCTGCCTGGGTTCCTGGGGCTGTCCTCCTGCCGTCCCACCCCTCACCCTCACCCACCTGAGTCCTGGCCATGAGGCTTTCCCGCAATCCCCTGCATATGGAGGGCCCTAAAGCAGTGGTTCTCAACCTTCCTAATGCCGCGACCCTTTAATACAGTTCCTGTGAGTTGAGAACCGCTGCCCTAAAGGAGCCCAGAGTCTGCCCTGCCCAGGATCTTCCCTGAGGGTCTGCAAAGGTCCCAGGGAGCTGGCCCTCACCTGTACCCCACCAGCCCCGAGGGGGTCCATGAAACTCGAGCCCCTCTCAGGGTAGTGCACTCTCCATTGAGGCCTCCCTGGCACGGCAGGGTCTGGGCTGACGGGCCCAAATCTCTGATCCTCTGGACACCAGCTCAGTGGGCTAGTATCCAGGCTTTGATCTCTAAGGATGGATGGGATTTTCTGGGGTTGAGGGAAGGGGCGGCAGCCTTGCTGGGCACCAGGAGGCATGGAGGTACGTGCTGGACACAGGGTGAATGGATGTGGCAGTGGCCCAGAGCCCTGGGGAAGAGGATGGCGAGGCCCATGTGTCTGGGATATAGCGAGAAAGCAGGGTCTCAGAACCCTCATCTCAAGATGCTTAACACTGAAGCTGGTGCCACGGGTGTCGATGACGAGGACTGAGCAGGTCAGAGGACCTTGGAGGAGAAACCAGAAACCTCCTCCCCCATGTAACAGCCCTGTGGGGTGCTTCCTAGAATATGGGAACTGAAGCTGATGTGGGGCCTGGCATGCTACCTGTGCCTTGTCTTGTCCCTATGCTCTCCACCAAAGGTCAGGGCCAGCAGTGTGGCCAGGAAGCCCCAGTGGCCCCTCACCTTCTGCTCCACCCCTAGGAAGCGCTGCAGGTCAGCAGCATCCAGGTGGTCCTTGTGGTTGCTGTAGGTCAGCATGAGCAGGTAGAGGTCCCGACGAGTAGACATCATCTTGTAGAAGGCGCAGAACTCCTCAAAGCCCAGTGTCCCCTGGTGGTCATCTGTGTCTGCTTCCTGCAATGTAAGGCCTCTGGTCCCCATCTGCAGCAGGCCCCCACTCCTCAGTCACACTCCCCTCCTCTGCCACTGCCTCCTCAGAGCACTCCCCTGAGGGGCTCCATGAACAGGGCTCTTAGACAAACCACATCAGGGTCCTTGTCCTACCCATCAACAGGCTGAGCAGGGGTGCACTCTGAGCAGGCCACCTGGTGTCTCTGAAGGAGGCTGGGAGGAGTCCTGAGGGGGTGTCCAGGGAGCAAGCCACAAGGGGCCATCCTCCAAGCAAATCACACTTCTCAGGACAGCTCACTGTCCTCATCCAGTGGAAAGGGGAGGGCCCAGATCAGGAACAAACACTGGGCCAGCACCTTGGACACCAGCACGCGCTGGCCTGCCAGCAAGGGACAGCCTTCCTCATAGGGGCCACCATTTGGTGCCAAGTCCCCTCTGAGCCAGGACAATCTCCATGAGTGACACAGTCACAATCCCACTGTGTCCCCATGCCCAGTGGCGGGCTTCGGGGCAGGTGGGGACCTGACTTGTGCTGCCAGCTGCTACACTGCCCTGACGCTGTGGCTTAGCATGGAGGTGGACTGCAGCAGGACCCAAATGCCTATCATGTGCTCATGCCAAGGCTAGAACAGGGCCAGCTTGGCATGAGGGGCCCAGCAGACCCCAGAAGACCTTGGTGCATCTGATGCTGGATTCAAGGGCAATCCTGACCTGAGGCCAACCATTCACTGCACCTAGGACAACCAGGCATCTCCAAGGGCCCCTTTGGGACAAGGGGCTGGACTGGTTGCCCTTCCAGGGGCCATGGCTGGGGCGTAGTGGCTGTGCCCAGGGTCAGCTGGCCTCCCCTGCTAACCACACCAGGAATCCAGGGTGGGGCACCCTCCTGCTGTCTCCTGAGCAGGAATGAAGATGCTATGAAATTGAGGCTCCCAGGAAGCCTGAGCCTAGCCCCAGAAACGCCCCCAACATGATCACATTGCTACTCAGAATTCTTCCCTCCAGTGGGAACCACAGGGGCTGTGAGCACACCCTGGCCGGGCACCTCCTGCTGAGCCCACCTGTACGATGTTACATTAGATTCAGTGACACTGTGTTCAAGCCACCCTCATTCAGTGCATAGATCTCTCCTGATTAGAGACAGGCACAGTGACAGGTGACAGGCACAGTATTGAGATTTTGCTGGATTATTAGAGCCCCTAGGACCTGCTGAAGCTCACGTCTCCCCTCCCTCTCTCCAAAGCACCTATAATTGGCAGCCAAACAGGTGGGCAGGAGGCCAGGCCTGACCACTGTGGCCAGGGCACTGGGTTTTGGGCCCATGGCTTCAGACAATGCCCCTGTCCACATCTCCCAGCTCCTCTGAGAGCCAGCCCTGGATCCAGCCTCACCTGTTGTCTCAGACTCAGGTCTCTCCCCATTGCTGGGGCTTTCTCAGGGAGATCTAGTTGGAGCAATGACAGGGCCATGGGATAGGCATGGGGCAGAGTGGAGTGTGTGCCCAGAAGCCGGCAGTCCTTACAAAAGGTACTGGTGAGCATGGTCTACCCAGAGCTAACAACATGAAGTATCTTCAGGCCAGGGCTGAGCTGGGACCTTCAGGCCCAGAAGCCCAAGCCCTGCACCCAGCTCTAGGAAAGGCCTTTGTCCCTCCTTCTGCTCTAAGGTCCCAAGTCAGGCATCAGGCCAAGGCCCAGCTTCATCTCTGTGGAAGGGCCTACTGCCCTCAGGGTCAGGAAGGAGTAGGGATGGCCCAGGGAGTATGGGTGCTGGTGTGAGTGCAGAGGCAGAGCTGCCTGCCGATCCCCACCGCCATGCAGGCTCTGTCCCCACTGGGGCCTTCACGAGGGCCTGCGAGCCCCCAGCGCTCAGTGAGTGTGCTCCTGAGAGCCTTCTCCCTCACTCAGGCTCAGACCCACATGCTAGCAGGCAGCTGCCCTTGCACGGCAACTGCCCAGGCTCTTAGGCCGTGAGAACATGTGCATGCATGCGTCAGGGCATGCAGGGGCTGGCTGGAGTGCAAGCTCACAGGACCCTCTTTCCAGCCTGCAGCAAGGATAGAGGCCTGAGGGCCGGTGTGCTGGCTCAGCCGCTGGGCCCGGACCTGCTGACAGGCAGAGTTCCTCCCGCCCAGCCCCACAGGGCTCTAGAAAGAGGAGCTAATTACAGACAATAAAGGCTGGGCTCCACTGAAGGAAGTATTTTCATAACTTCTAACACCAGAGTGGCTGCAGAGAGAGGCGTGAGGAGCGGCCCCACCCCCACCCCAGGCAGGGCCTCACCCTGAACATCTGCTTCACCCGCTGGCGTGGCAGGTTCACGTTGAGCTTGTGCAGCAGCTGCAGGAGCTCACCAATGCTCAGGCTGCCGTCCCCGTTCTTGTCCGCCTCGTCAAACGTCTGCTTCAGCCACTTTGGGGCCGAGTTAGGGGCCAACGTGGGTCCACAGGTCCAGCCACACCGCCCCTGCCCTCAGCCTGGGAAGGAAGGAGTGGGGGACCCAGCCCATGTGCCCCAGACATGTGACCCACAAGGGCCAGGGAACCCCTGGGACAGCTGCGGGGTGCGTGCCCAAGGATATTGGTCCCTGGTTCGCTGGCGGCGGGCCAGGCTGTCCTCATCACTGATGCCAGCCATGAGGTAGCGAAGGCCAGTGACCCAGGTGCGTGCCTCGTCTCCACTGGCCGAGACCAAGTCGAGCGACTCACGGGGGCTGCCATGGTAGATGCTAAAGCAGCAGTTGGGATCGAAGCTACCCCCGGGGTAGCGCTGGAAGACCTCTGACTGTCGCCCCTCGCTCACCTCCTGGATGGAGTCTATGGAGACTGCAGGCATGGTAGGGGCACCGGGTCACGGCCTCTGGAGGTTCCACATCCCCACCCACAGCCACAAGCCCCCGGACCAAGCAGCCTGGAGCCTGTACCCTTCACCTCGGGACCTCCATGCAGACCCAAGTGGATGTGGGGCCCCTGCCCTGCCCCTGCGTCACTCCTCCTTCTCTAGGTGTGAAAGACGCCCCCATGAGGGAGCCTGCCTTCCCTATCTCACGCCAGAGTCTGGCTGGCCCAGGTCTCTGTATTTCTCAAAGAGCAGAAGCAGGTGGCCGGAAGCCCACACATCTCCCTGTTCTGAGACGGGTGACCGCTGGGCTGGCTGGCCAAGAGCCTGCACCGCCTCCACAAGCCCCCAGGTGGGGGAGTGTACGGTGGGGTCCTGGCTCAGCACTCAGCTCACCAAAGATTTCACGACTGGCTACAGCAGCCAGGGCCCCACAGAGCCTCTGGGAGCTCAGAGGGCGTTTTCAGATCTGTGCTCCGCCTGTGGCAGGATCTACCAGAGGACCTCTCCAAGTCCAGGGTGGGCTTTAGCCACCCAGCTGGATCTCCCTGCGTGCTTGGGTGGGCAGAGGCAAAAGGGCCTCTCTGTCCCATGTCCCCCCCTGCAAGTCCCCAGGGGCTTCCCTGATGCTGTGTCGACCCTGGCTCCCTCCATCCTGCTCCTGTCTTGGGTGGAACAGCCTCCAAGGAGGCAGGGGGAGACCTCAGTGTGCTGGGCAGCCCTGAGCACAGGGAACAGTGCCTGGCTCAGAGCAGCTGCTCCTGCTGGGTGCTGGGGCTCCTCCTACCTGCACAGCCTCAATCAAACTGGCTTCTCTGCCCTGGCCCGGAGGGCAGTCCCGGCATTGACCCCACATTGCCTCCTGGGGTCAGGGGCTCCACCTACTCCAGGATATCCTGGCCCTGGGGCCCTTCTATATACAGACCCTCCTGGGGGCTCTGAGGCAAGGGTCTCCTGGACCCATGGGGCTGCACCCCAGATAACCACTGGGCTGAGGCCCTTCCCTGGCACAGCTGGGTCCTGCCCACTAGCAAAGCCAGAGAAGGTCCTGAAAACGCCCCTCCCCACAACCCCAGAACCCACAGCCCACCTCAGGCACAAAGCCTTCCAGCTCACGTTGAGCCTTCACACTCTGAGGGACTGAGCCAAAGCTGCCAGCCCAGCCCTTCCTTGATATAGCTTGCTGGGGTCCCTTCCTGCCTGACTGCCCTCTGTCCTCATCCCAACTGCACACCCAGACCAGGGCTGGGCACTGGTGATGCTCTGTGCCCACCAAGTCCCAGGGAGGTCTGCTGGGTGGGCACGGCCCCTCCCCATGGTCCACGGGGGCTCAGAGCCACATGGCAGCTGCTGGGAGGGACACCTGCCCCTGTGTGCTCCCTGGGGCATTGGGCCTGCCCCTGCCAGGGCAGCCACTCACTCTTGGCCTTCTCGTTCTTGCGGGAGGGCCGCCAGCGGATGCAGGAGCGGTGCTCATCCAGGTAGTAGAAGCGGACCAGGCCCTTGGAGCTGCCCCGGAGCTTCACCATCTGCGTCCCCTCCTGCATGGCACTCATGCACCGCTCCACTGGACGGATGGGCGGGCAGACAGACGGACACAGAGATGATAGACATAGGTGCTGGTGAGCGTTGCAGCACCCCCACTCCTCACCACAGCGCACACCCTGCCACTTGGCCAGGCCTCTCACCTGCCCCCCGCAGGGCCAAGGCTGACCCAGGCCTGCCTGCCACATTGGTCATCAATCCAATCCCACTGCCCAGTAGGACCCTGCTCTTCCCTGCTCAGCCACCTACCCCTCCTGCCACCACCTGGGCCAGACCCAGCAATGGCCAGCAACCTGTGTGGGCCTGAGGGACTGTGGGGGGCCATCACTCAAATGGAGCCAGTATGAAACTCAGGAGCAAGGAGGCAAGGACATGAGGGGACAGAGGCTGGCAGCTGCTCCAGCTCTCTGGAGGTCCCTGTGCCTGATTCAAGGCAGGCCCCGGCCACCCCACACCAGCCACAGGCTGCTCCTGAGGGCCTGGACTCCTCTCTGGGGCCCTCCTTGGAGGCCCTTGGCCCTACATGCAGCAAAGATGGCACTAACACGTCCACTCCCCAAGGTCCACAGGCACAGTCCAATAGCAGGGTACAGGTTCAAAGATGGATCTGAGCACTCCTGCCTCCCCCTGCCCCCGGCATCCATGGTCTCCTATTTGTACCTGGGCCTCTAGGAGTCCAGGCCAGAGTCAGCTAGCCCAGTACAGGAACCAGTAGTCCCCGCCCTCTTTGGGGTCTGCACATCTGCTTACAAAAAGCCCAGGTCCCAAAAAAGTACTTCCTGGTGAACCAGACAGCAATTAAAATCTGTGAGGTCCAAGCAATGAGGAATGCCAAGTAGGAGCTGTGGAGGACCATGGATGGTGCCAGCCCAGGAGGACCTCTTGGGCTAATGTTTGACCATGAGCAGAAGAGAACTGCAGCAGGGTGGTGGGGGCACAAGAAGGCTGGGCTGTTCTGGGATTGCGGGAGGTAAAGACATGGGTGTGGCTGTGGGATGCAGTGGAAGGGAGAGGCAGGACACAGATGGGTCCCAGTGGCCCCAGCACCTGGTGGCTGGACCAGAGGCTCTCAGCCCTTCTGTCAGCAACCAGCAGGCACCTCGTGCATCACTGCAGTGTCTGGAGCCAAAGGGTTTTATGTCCAACACCAGCATTCAGTCCCCACCTCAGCTGAGGGTGCTGCTGCCCCCCAGAGAGTCAACGACCTCTCAACAAAGCTTTACAGCCACATGCACGCCCACACTGCACATCTGATCAGGGCCCTGAACTGACAGGCCAGATGGGCAGTGCGGGTGGCTAAGGGGTGGGGCCAGCAACACACTAGATCCACTGACCCCAGAGACACGGTGGGGGGAAGTGGAGGACCCGAGCCTTATGCACCTCAAAAGTGGCCCCACCCTCCCAGGCACCTGGATGGCCCTGCCCCTTCTTACCCAGTGGGCCAAGCTGCCACCTTGAGGACAGCACCACGCTCCCTCCAACCCAGAGTAGCATCTCCGCCAAGCAGGCCACCGTTCCCTGGGCCCAGCTGTCCGTGGATGTCCAGGGGCCAGACATGACCAGATGATGGCAGGGGCAGGCTCACGGAGGACGCAGAGGGCCGCCCCACGCTCAGCTGCAGGTCTGGCAGAGGCAGTATGGGGCACAGGGGCTCTGGAGGCCCCTGTCTCTCCTCCACCTCTTCCTCCCCCCTCAGGGCTGTTCCCAGGCCCCAGTGGCATTGCCTGCCTGTCACCTACTGTCCCAGACGGCCCCCAGGCCAGCCCACTACCTTCCAGGAGTCCCTGAAGAAGCTGCGCCCCAAGGGATGGGGGAAGGGCCGAGCCCATGCCCCGCCCACCCTCAGCTCAATCCCCTGCACTAATCCCAGCCTGGACCAGCCCCACTGGCCAAAGGATTTAGGACAAGGGAGCTCAGCTGGGGGCCAGCATGGCCCTGAAAGGCAGCAGTGCTATCCAAGTTCCAGGCTCCCCAGACCTTCATCTTGGGCTCAGAAATGACAGCAGGATCAATGGTGGCCCCTCCTGGAAACCCCAAGAACGCAGCCGTGAGGCCTGGGGGCGACAGTCCATGTAATCAGGATGAATGGCATGGATCTCCTTGCTGTCCTGCACACGCGGTGCCCAGAGCTGGTGTCCCATCCTCTCAATCCCATCCTGAACCCTGGAGAAGGTCTCATCCCCCCACAGCCCTCACACTGAAGAGGGCCTCCCAGTGGATCCCCGCATTCTACAGGCAGGTGGGAGGCCAGGAGGCTATAGCCCTTCTGCCCCAAGGACAGGAACACAGGCCCCTTTCAACTGTGACTCCAGCATGAGCGGGAGCTGTGGGTCCCTTGAGCCCTGGTCAGGTTCCTCTGCCTCACTCACACAGCTGCAGCCCCAGCCCAGCCCTTCCCACGCTTGCTGCTGCAGCCCGATGCACAAGGGCACTTCCTTCACCATTGTGATGGCCACCTGACTGGAAGGAGCCACAGGAGCCCAGCAAAAGCCATGCCAGTACCTTCAGCAGAGCCCCTGAGGGGCCACAGATGCGTGTGCAGCCCTGGGAGTGGGAGTAGAGGAGATGGGTATGGGACATCTGCCCAGCTGGACACCTGACACTGGGCTGCCCAGCCCCAGCTCCCACTATAGGCAAGACCTAGAACCCTCCTGCCACTGAGCCCTGCAATTATACCACCTGCAACACAGGGACAACTTGTGGGCTCTGGCTCTCTCACCCCTAGTCAGAGGTGGCTTTCCGGTTGAAGGACCCCCTCCTCCTTGGGAGCCTCCAGGCCTCCTTCCTGCCGACCCCCAGGCTGTGCCCACTCCAGTGAGACTGTCACACTCTCCCCTCTCTGCACAGGCAGGAGGAGCTGGAGGCCAGGCAGCCTGGCCTAGCCAGGGGGGGCAAGGTTGGGGAGGTGGCAGGCCATGAGGAGATAGCAGGGCATCTTGGGCTGACCACAGTGAACCAGGACCACACCCGGCCAGATCCCCTGTAATCAGCTCAAAGCCAAACCCCAGACCCAATAAGGAGCCTTTGTCACAGAAGCTCTGACTCTGCTCACAGGAGGTCAGCAGGCAGAATTAGATTAGGGAGCCATTAGCTGCTGGGACAGGAAAGGGGCCAGAGTCCCAGGAGTACTTGGGAAGATGGGGCGCAGGGCCCTGCCAGCATAGCCAGCCAGGCGGGTGGAGCCCAGAAATCCCAGAGGCAAGTGCACACACCTAGGAACAGAGGGCTGGCTCACAGCCTGGCCCCCCCACCCAGTGCCTGCACCATATCCTTCAGATGTCCCTGGGGGCCCACAGCCACTTTCCACATACCCGAAAGCCAGTAGCTCCTGGTTCCCAGGAAGACACTCTGCTTCTCTGTCCCAGGCCCTGTTCTGGATGCCCCTGTTCTTCCTCAACCTGGGCCTAGCCCCGTGGGACGCTCCTGCCTTCCACCCATCCATCCTCTTCAAAGCCCCCCAAGATTGTCCCCAGGCCCCTCCTCCCTTAGAGCTAACAACTGGTGCTTCCATCAGCTGAGGTGGAGAGCTTAGGTGCCCCCCTCCGCCTGAGCAGGAGCTCGGGAATGAGCATCCGGCCCAGCCCCATGCAACATGGAGCCCAGACTGCTGCATACAGATGCCCAGGCCCCTCTTCAGCTGCCCTAGGCCAGAACCCTGCACTGACCAGGCTGACAGAGCCCAGCTAATCCGCCCTGACATAAGGCTCTGCCAGGAAGTTTCCCCACTGCCCTGAGAATCAAGGTGACCCCCATCCTCTCCAAAAGACAGCTAGACACAGAACCATGGTGCCGAGTGAAGCCAGAGTGCCCCAGGCTGCATGCACCCTCACAGCACAGCTGAACCAAGACTAGGCAAGCTGGTCGCTGGCCATGGCGGGCTGGATCCGCTAATAGGCCTTGAACCTGGACAGCTCGGCCATCCCACATAATGAGGGGCAGCCTCCAGCCTCAGCAGAGCCAAGTCCCCACAGCATGGGAAGCACACCAGCATGGGGGCAATGCTAGCCAGGGCCCCCACACCCACATGCATTACCCTGCCAGCCCCACCCTCTGCTTCCTCAGAGCAGAAACCCCAACCCCAGGTGCTGCCAGAAAGCAGACCCAGAGCCAACACCTGGAGGCCAGAAGGGGCTGCATCCTTCCAACAAGACCACGGAAGGGTCAACCCTCCTCCTGCTGCCTATGCTGCCCGGCCTCCATCTGCCCCAAGGGCCCACAGGGAGGCCTCGGGAATAGACCTCTGCCCTGTGGGTCCTCACAAGGCTTGGGGCCCCAAACACATCCACACTCCCTCAGGTTACCTCCAGCTCCTCCCCCAGAGCCTGAGCTAGGACACCTGACACAGCTCCCAGCCCAGCTGCCTTGCACTTGCCCCCACAGGGGCTTAGGTGGGAGCATAGCATTCACCCATGCAGGAGGCTGGACCTGCCATTGGACCAGCCCCATGGCCCAGGCCAGGCCAGGGGAGCCAGCAGATAGGTAGGCAAGGCAGGACCCTGATCTCCCTGCTCACTGTCCCACAGGTCCCTTAGAGCACTGTCAGGACCTTGGGGTCCTGCCACTGCTCTGTTGCTACATGGCCACTACCTAGCCCACAGCAGGTGTTCACTGGACAAGTGTGAGCCAGGAGGGACCACCATGTGTGCTCTGGGGCATGGTCAATGGCAGCCAGCACCTTGCACAGCTGGCCTGAGCACTAGCCTGACAGGCTCTGCTCTCTAGGGTGCGGCCAGCTCCAGCCTTGATCCAGGAGAAACCTGGTACATGAGCACACAGGACAGACAGCGGACAGGCAGGGCCACCTTCAGGTGGGGAGAGGCCACAGGAAGGGCTCTGTGGGCCTGAGGTCCCATGCGGACACCCAGAGAAGGCACCTGGGACCCTGCTCAGGTTGGCCCCTGCATGGTGGTAGCACTGCTGGCCCTGCCTGCCTGGCTTTGGCAGCTGCCTGGACCCTGGATGGTCTCCATGTGTCAGTTTCCCCTGCAATCCCTCCTTTCTTCTTTTCTCCCCTAGACCCTGCATGGGACAGCAGCAGGTGGCAACTGCTTGGAGGATGAACAGCCGGCACTGTCGGAAGCCAGGGCAGTATCTGCTTAATTTCGTTTTTATGGTGGAGATCGATCTTGTCCTAACACAGTAGGCAACACGCGGGCTGCTGTCAACAGCCACAGCTCATCGTACCCTCCCCTCCCAGGGGAAGCTGGAAAATCAATTTAATCTAACACTGAAACCCGCAGATCACACCCACAGCCTCCTGGCTTGTGCACACACGTCCAGCAGTGCCTTCAGGAGCCACAGCCCCCTCCCACTGCTGGGGCACAGGGACTACACATATTTACCACTGACCCTGGGCACAAGGACGGCATAGCACCCACTGCAGGTCTAGCCTGGCTCCCTGAAGATTTTCTTCTGAGATTTTTTTGCATTTCTTCAGAAACTTCAGAGGGACCCTCTCCATGCCCACCCTGCTCAGAACGACCAGCAGCAGTTGGCTGCTCAACGGCACCCTGGGCCAGGGCTCCTCAGACCTCCCAGAAGCCCTGTCCCTCGCACGCCCCATGGTCCACAGCCCTGCCTTCAGGCTACTCAGGGTGTAGAGAGTACCCAGACAGTGCCTGGGATGTGGAGGAAGGAGGAAGCAGCCGCCTGCCTGGCCACTGCAGGGATCATCCCGGACCCTGGCCCAGCACCGCACGGGAGGGAGCCCAGGCCCACACACATATGGCAGAGATAATTTAAACATCTGAGAGAAGCAACTCACCCCCCGCACGTCTGGGCGCCTCCTCCCAACTATTTTTATATTATCAGGAGTGTGAGTCGCTCCCTGAAGCCCTCCCCAGACTGGTCCCCAGGTGGCTGTGCTGGGGTCCGGGAGCTAAGCCTATGGAGCCAGCGATAACTGCCCAGCCTGCTGTACTTTGCTGGGTCAAAGAAGGCTGGGCAGGGGGCATCAGGGGCTGACATCCCCCTGGCAGGATGTGCTCTTTTCCTCTAGCAGCCCCAGCCCTCAGCAGGAGAGGTGAGAGTTCGGAGGGTAAGAGGGCCAGACCCCACAGCACTGCATGGCTCAGCAGCAAGGGAGATGGGGCGGGGGGTCCTGAGGGCGGGCTGGTGGGACTTCTTCCCACTTGAGCTCCACTCCCCTGACCTGTGGACAAAAATCGAGGGTGGGGGACCATGGGATGTGCATCCTAGTGGGCAAAGACAGTGGGAGATGGCTAACCATGCTCCACCCACCACACTCACTGAACAGTCCCTGGCCCTGAGTCTTCCCCTTCCATTGGCCACAACATAGTGAGGAGGGCATGCGGGGTCAAGAGAGCCTGGCCCATCCCTGGTGGCACCAGCTTCTGTGAGAAGGATCAGACCCCTGCCAGGTTCAAGCCAGGCTCACTCGCCCAATAGGGAGTGAGGGAGAGAAGCATTCATGATGATCAGAGCGTCCAGAGCTCTCCCATCTATGTGAGAAGGGCTGAGCGAGCATTGGGACTTACAGTCACTGG